TTTACTGCAGTACACTAACATAATATTAGAATTGTATCGGAAATAAATAGGGACCTAATAGATTCAATCAGTGCCATAAACCTTATATTGATGTGTAATAAAAATATGCCACTCACTGTATAGAATAGATAATTGCTCATGTTTACATTGTGTAACCTGAATCCCTGTGTAGTTAAATCCGAGGTATATGTGGTGCATAAAATAGCAAATTATTTGCACATAATAGCGAATAATAGCATTTCTCTGGAGGATATAAGCCCTTGATGAGTTTGTGTTAGAAGCAGTTTTAATTAAGGTTAATTTATATATTAATAATGAAAAATACAGAGCATGGGTCTATCTAGATCAGTAATTATGGGTTTGAAAGTGCTGACCAGCATAAAGTAAGTTCTGTCCAGAGGTGGTGTTTTTTTATAATTCTAGATGATTAAATTATTTGATTTCACAGTGTCATGCAGAACTTTCAAACACTGCGAGACAGAATATTTAATGTGGACAAATGAACAGACATCACAGTTATACCGGGATAGTCAAGTTTTTTGGGGCATTTGTCCCAGTGTCCCTAGAAACCTTCTTGTGACGTATAAATGTCCCGATTTTTGGCTGAATATATGCAGGGCTGGCACTACCATAAGGCGGCACAGACGCTCACCTTAGGCCGCACCGGCAGGATCTGTTTGACTGACAGGTAGGAAGGGCACTGCACAATGCGCCCCCCTTTTCCAGTCAATGTATGATCTTCTGTAACATATACCTGGTCTAACAGAAAGTGCTCACTAGGAGCGTGGATTTGCCTCCTGTCAGACCGGGAAGAGGAAGCAATACACTATACAGGAGGGAGGTGAGCTAGCACAGGTAGACCTCAAAGCGGAGTTGCGGGGTGGGCGAAAAAGACAGACAGGTGCTAGAGTGGACAAAAGAGACAGCCAGGGGCTATGTTGAGGCAAAAGAGACAGACATATTATTGGGGGGGAGGCGGGGAACAAAGAGACACAGAGGTGCTAGGAAGGGGAGAAAGAGATACACAAAGGGGCGTACAAAAACACACATAGGGGCTGGGGAGGAGACACCCAGAGGGGCTGGGGTGAGACAAAGAGACACAGAGGGGCTTGGGAAGAAAGACACAATGTATTGGGGTAAGAGACACACAGAAGGGTTGGGAAAGGGAAAAAGAGAGCCAAAAAAGGGCTTTGGAAAAAAGAGATACACAGAGGGGCTGGAGGGGAGGGACAAACAGACACAGAGGGCCTGGGGAAGGGGCAAAATAGATGGGCTGGGGACACCCACTGGGACTGGAGGGGAGACAAAGAGATACAGAGGGTCTTGGGGAGAAAGAGATACATAGAAGGTTGGGAAGGGGGTGGGGGGGGGGCAAAGAGACACAGATGGGCAAAAAAATATGGTTCTGAAAAGTACAAAACGCCATGTTGATTGAAGCAGTTTTATGAGGTAAGTAAATACAATTAAATGGTCTCATGGCTTGTAATTTATAGTTATAGCTAGACTTGTGCAATACCTTAGTTTGAGTGATTAGTTTTGATTGTAGTTAGACACATTACTGGGAGTATTATTACTGTGGAGCTCTGTTATACACTCAGACACATTACTGGGAGTATTATTACTGTGGAGCTCTGTTATACACTCATACACATTACTGGGAGTATTATTGCTGTGGAGCTCTGTTATACACTCAGACACATTACTGGGAGTGTTATTGCTGTGGAGCTCTGTTATACACTAAGACACATTACTGGGAGTATTATTGCTGTGGAGCTCTGTTATACAGTCAGACACATTACTGGGAGTATTATTACTGTGGAGCTCTGTTATACACTCAGACACATTACTGGGAGTATTATTACTGTGGAGCCCTGTTATACACTCAGACACATTACTGGGAGTATTATTGCTGTGGAGCTCTGTTATACACTCAGACACATTACTGGGAGTATTATTGCTGTGGAGCTCTGTTATGCACTCAGACACATTGCTGGGAGTATTATTGCTGTGGAGCTCTGCTATACACTCAGACACATTACTGGGAGTATTATTGCTGTGGAGCTCTGTTATACACTCAGACCCTTTACTGGGAGTATTATTGCTGTGGAGCTCTGTTATACACTCAGACACATTACTGGGAGTATTTTTGCTGTGGAGCTCTGTTATACACTCGTACAGATTACTGGGAGTATTATTGCTGTGGAGCTCTGTTATACACTCAGACACATTACTGGGAGTTATATTGCTGTGGAGCTCTTTTATATCCTCAGACATATTACTGGGAGTATAATTTCTGTGGAGCTCTGTTATACACTCAGACACATTACTGGGAGTTATATTGCTGTGGAGCTCTTTTATATCCTCAGACACATTACTGGGAGTATTATTGCTGTGGAGCTCTGTTATACACTCAGACACATTACTGGGAGTATTATTGCTGCGGAGCTCTGTCACACACTGAGACACATTACTGGGGGTATTATTGCTGTGGAGCTCTGTTATACACTCAGACACATTACTGTGAGTATTATTGCTGTGGAGCTCTGTTATACGCTCAGTCACACTGTGAGTATTATTGCTGTGGAGCTATGTTACACACTCAGACACATTACTGGGAGTATTATTGCTGTGGAGCTCTGTTATACACTCATACACATTACTGGGAGTATTATTGCTGTGGAGCTCTGTTATACAGCCAGACACATTACTGGGAGTATTATTGCTGCGGAGCTCTGTTATACAATCAGACACATTACTGGGAGTATTATTGCTGTAGAGCTCTGTTATACACTCAGACACATTACTGGGAGTATTATTGCTGTGGTGCTCTGTTATACACCCAGACACATTACTGGGAATATTATTGCTGTGGAGCTCTGTTACTGGGAGTGTTATTGCTGTGGAGCTCTGTTATACACTCAGACACATTACTGGGAGTATTATTGCTGTGGAGCTCTGTTATACACTCAGACACATTACTGAGAGTATTATTGCTGTTGAGCTCTGTTATACAGCCAGACACATTACTGGGAGTATTATTGCTGTGGTGCTCTGTTATACGCTCAGACACATTACTGGGAGTATTATTACTGTGGAGCTCTGTTATACGCTCAGACACATTACTGAGAGTATGATTGCTGTTGAGCTCTGTTATACAGCCAGACACATTACTGGGAGTATTATTGCTGTGGTGCTCTGTTATACGCTCAGACACATTACTGGGAGTGCTATTGCTGTGGAGCTCTGTTACTGGGAGTATTATTACTGTGGAGCTCTGTTACTGGGAGTGTTATTTCTGTGGAGCTCTGTTACTGGGAGTGTTATTGCTGTGGAGCTCTGTTACTGGGAGTGTTATTACTGTGGAGCTCTGTTACTGGGAGTATTATTGCTGTGGAGCTCTGTTATACACTTAGACACATTACTTGTAGTATTATTGCTGTGGAGCTCTGTTATACACTCAGACACATTACTGGGAGTATTATTACTGTGGAGCTCTGTTATACACTCAGACACATTACCGGGAGTATTATTACTGTGGAGCTCTGTTACTGGGAGTGTTATTACTGTGGAGCTCTGTTACTGGGAGTGTTATTGCTGTGGAGCTCTGTTAATGGGAGTGTTATTACTGTGGAGCTCTGTTACTGGGAGTGTTATTGCTGTGGAGCTGTGTTACTGGGAGTATTATTACTGTGGAGCTCTGTTACTGGGAGTGCTATTGCTGTGGAGCTCTGTTACTGGGAGTATTATTACTGTGGAGCTCTGTTACTGGGAGTGCTATTGCTGTGGAGCTCTGTTACTGGGAGTATTATTACTGTGGAGCTCTGTTACTGGGAGTGTTATTTCTGTGGAGCTCTGTTACTGGGAGTGTTATTGCTGTGGAGCTCTGTTACTGGGAGTGTTATTACTGTGGAGCTCTGTTACTGGGAGTGTTATTGCTGTGGAGCTCTGTTACTGGGAGTGTTATTACTGTGGAGCTCTGTTACTGGGAGTGTTAATGCTGTGGAGCTCTGTTACTGGGAGTGTTATTACTGTGGAGCTCTGTTAATGGGAGTGTTATTACTGTGGAGCTCTGTTACTGGGAGTGTTATTGCTGTGGAGCTCTGTTACTGGGAGTGTTATTGCTGTGGAGCTCTGTTACTGGGAGTGTTATTTCTGTGGAGCTCTGTTACTGGGAATGTTATTGCTGTGGAGCTCTGTTACTGGGAGTGTTAATGCTGTGGAGCTCTGTTACTGGGAGTGTTATTTCTGTGGAGCTCTGTTACTGGGAGTGTTATTGCTGTGGAGCTCTGTTACTGGGAGTGTTATTACAGTGGAGCTCTGTTACTGGGAGTGTTATTGCTGTGGAGCTCTGTTACTAGGTGTGTTATTACTGTGGAGCTCTGTTACTGGGAGTGTTAATGCTGTGGAGCTCTGTTACTGGGAGTGTTATTGCTGTGGAGCTCTGTTAATGGGAGTGTTATTACTGTGGAGCTCTGTTGCTGGGAGTGTTATTGCTGTGGAGCTCTGTTACTGGGAGTGTTATTTCTGTGGAGCTCTGTTGCTGGGAGTGTTATTACTGTGGAGCTCTGTTACTGGGAGTGTTATTGCTGTGGAGCTCTGTTACTGGGAATGTTATTGCTGTGGAGCTCTGTTACTGGGAGTGTTATTACTGTGGAGCTCTGTTACTGGGAGTGTTATTGCTGTGGAGCTCTGTTACTGGGAGTGTTATTACTGTGGAGCTCTGTTACTGGGAGTATTATTGCTGTGGAGCTCTGTTACTGGGAGTGTTATTACTGTGGAGCTCTGTTACTGGGAGTATTATTGCTGTGGAGCTCTGTTACTGGGAGTGTTAATGCTGTGGAGCTCTGTTACTGGGAGTGTTATTACTGTGGAGCTCTGTTACTGGGAGTATTATTACTGTGGAGCTCTGTTACTGGGAGCTCCCTAGCACACACTGTTGGGATACACTGAGCACGTGGCCGGTATTCCAGCGCTCTGTTGCCATGGAGACAGAGCGTCCACACGTCACCATCCCTGCCCATTTCCGCGTGCGGCTGTGTGGTTGCCATGGAGACCGGGCTCAGCGTCCTGACTACGACAGCCGCGCGAGGACATTCTGAGCAGCCGCGATCCGGGAGAGGCCGAACGCGAACACCCCGCTCCCAGCGCGCAGCTATAGGTGACCGGGCAGGCAGGGGTTAATCATCATTAATGGGATCATAGTACTGACCGGGCAGGCAGGGGTTAATCATCATTAATGGGATCATAGTACTGACCGGGCAGGCAGGGGTTAATCATCATTAATGGGATCATAGTACTGACCGGGCAGGCAGGGGTTAATCATCATTAATGGGCTCACAGTACTGACCGGGCAGGCAGGGGTTAATCATCATTAATGGGCTCACAGTACTGACCGGGCAGGCAGGGGTTAATCATCATTAATGGGATCACAGTACTGACCGGGCAGGCAGGGGTTAATCATCATTAATGGGCTCAGTGTACTGACCGGGCAGGCAGGGGTTAATCATCATTAATGGGATCACAGTACTGACCGCAGGCAGGTTAATCATCATTAATGGGCTCACAGTACTGACCGGGCGCAGGTTAAATCATTAATGGGATCATAGTACTGACCGGGCAGGCAGGGTTAATCATCATTAATGGGCTCATAGTACCGGACCGGGCAGGCAGGGGTTAATCATCATTAATGGGCTCATACTACTGACCGGGCAGGCAGGGGTTAATCATCATTAATGGGCTCAGTGTACTGACCGGGCAGGCAAGGGTTAATCATCATTAATGGGCTCACAGTACTGACCGGGCAGGCAGGGGTTAATCATCATTAATGGGCTCATAGTACTGACCGGGCAGGCAGGGGTTAATCATCATTAATGGGCTCACAGTACTGACCGGGCAGGCAGGGGTTAATCATCATTAATGGGATCACAGTACTGACCGGGCAGGGGTTAATCATCATTAATGGGCTCATAGTACTGACAGGGCAGGCAGGGGTTAATCATCATTAATGGGATCACAGTACTGACCAGGCAGGGGTTAATCATCATTAATGGGCTCATAGTACTGACCGGGCAGGGGTTAATCATCATTAATGGGCTCAGTGTACTGACCGGGCAGGCAGGGGTTAATCATCATTAATGGGATCATAGTACTGACCGGGCAGGCAGGGGTTAATCATCATTAATGGGATCATAGTACTGACCGGGCAGGCAGGGGTTAATCATCATTAATGGGGTCATAGTACTGACCGGGCAGGCAGGGGTTAATCATCATTAATGGGCTTATTGTACTGACCGGGCAGGCAGGGGTTAATCATCAATAATGGGAATATTGTACTGACCGGGCAGGCAGGGGTTAATCATCATTAATGGGCTCACAGTACTGACCGAGCAGGCAGGGGTTAATCATCAGTAATGGGCTCACAGTACTGACCGGGCAGGCAGGGGTTAATCATCATTAATGGGCTCATAGTACTGACCGGGCAGGCAGGGGTTAATCATCATTAATGAGCTCAGTGTACTGACCGGGCAGGCAGGGGTTAATCATCATTAATGGGCTCATAGTACTGACCGGGCAGGCAGGGGTTAATCATCATTAATGGGATCATAGTACTGACCGGGCAGGCAGGGGTTAATCATCATTAATGGGATCATAGTACTGACCGGGCAGGCAGGGGTTAATCATCAATAATGGGAATATTGTACTGACCGGGCAGGCAGGGGTTAATCATCAATAATGGGAATATTGTACTGACCGGGCAGGCAGGGATTAATAATCATTAATGGACTCATAGTACTGACCGGGCAGGCAGGGGTTAATCATCATTAATGGGATCATAGTACTGACCGGGCAGGCAGGGGTTAATCATCATTAATGGGATCATAGTACTGACCGGGCAGGCAGGGGTTAATCATCATTAATGGGATCATAGTACTGACCGGGCAGGCAGGGGTTAATCATCATTAATGGGATCATAGTACTGACCGGGCAGGCAGGGGTTAATCATCATTAATGGGCTCATAGTACTGACCGGGCAGGCAGGGGTTAATCATCAATAATGGGAATATTGTACTGACCGGGCAGGCAGGGATTAATCATCATTAATGGACTCATAGTACTGACCGGGCAGGCAGGGGCTAATCATCATTAATGGGCTCACAGTACTGACTGGGCAGGCAGGGGTTAATCATCATTAATGGGCTCATAGTACTGACCGGGCAGGCAGGGGTTAATCATCATTAATGGGATCATTGTACTGACCAGGCAGGGGTTAATCATCATTAATGGGCTCATTGTACTCACTGGGCTGGCAGGGGTTAATCATCATTAATGGGATTATAGTACTGACCGGGCAGGCAGGGGTTAATCATCATTAATAGGATTACTGTACTAACTGGGCAGGCAGGGGTTAATCATCAGCAGTGAGATTATTGGGTATATAGACCTTCCTTACATCATGTGCTAGCACTGGGCTTGATAGACCCCCAACGGATTACACTATGTGTACACAGGGAAACCTCTCTGTAAATATTATACACAGATTTATTTACACCAAGAAGCAGCATGGAGTGTATATAGAACTGAGCAGCTGCTGCAGAACATCTTGGGTAGTAGCCATTATATCAGAATACTGTACTCAGCCTAGCCCAGGCTCTTTAACCTTTTATTAATATCATTTGTAGAGGGAGCGTTTTACAGCTGCTGCAGACTCTGTTAGAACATGGAACTCTAGTATTTCTATAGTGTTTCAAACATAAGGGAATCCCAGCATTACTTTGTATTACTATGATATAGAGCCCAATTTAGAACCTGCTGTAAAAGGCACCGAATTTGCATCTTAGATGCTTTGTAAAGTCCACATGGATGTGACGTGATCTAAACATGGCATTTAAAGTTCTTAGTTCTCATGGACTTTATATGCAATTTACAGGGCTGTTTGTTTACACACAGGGTTTTATTCACTAAACTGAGAATTGCTGAAAATTGAAAGTGAATTTCAAATTGCAGATTCAAAAAAAAAAAAACCCTCCAGGTCAGATTTGAGTTCAGTTTGGTTATTTTGGCCTTATATTTAAAAATCACGTTAAATTCCCAGCAATTCTCATTTAGTGAATAATCCTGTAGTGTTTCTGGGCATTTTTAACATAAAGTTTGTGACATTGCCTTGCTAAATCCATAGAGGTGTTTGTCTCAAACTTTTGCATCTATTCTCCATGACATTTTGGCAATCTTCCTATTTCAGGAATCTGGCCCTTAAATCTGACACTCCGGTAATCAGAACATTCAATCTGACACTCTGGGAATTAGCTGGTTCCATTTTGACCAATCTACCCATTCAATCAAAGCATCAGTGAATCACTCCACTCCTCCTGGGACTTTTAAGGAGGGTGTGGGTGATAACTGACAGTGTTATTGCTAGGTGCACCTGAGGGTATACATTGTACTTTGGTTGCTAACAGTCTGCACATTGTAAACATCAGGGGTCACGTATACACCTATAGATCAGTGTGATTTACCATTCACATTGATTCTACGGGATCATCCCTATAGCCACGGTTAGCCTTCATGTTTGCATTCATTTCCAAAACACTCTCTCTTTGGGTAGGCCCATCATGTATATCTACCTCCCTATGGATTTATATTGTACATAAACCATGTGTGTGCATCACAGTAGTGCCTATTAAACAGTCCTTTTTTGTCAAGTTTCACAATACTTTTAGTTTTTTCTTATTTTACAGATATTTCGTCTTATTTTAAAGATGGACCAAGGAAAAGGAAGCCCATCGAGTGCAACACCAGATACTGAAAAGGTAAGTGGGATTCTGTTCCCCCCTGCTGCAGAAATAATCCCACCTGCAGTTCGGGGGGCTTTTAGTGAAAGAATTAGCGGAAACCACTATTACAGATAGGAAATCCATTTACAAACTGCAGTGTGAGCACCAAGGAAATGACGACATTATTTTTGCTTGTTTGACATTTTCTGGATTAACTAATATTGGTCATGGAAAATTACTAAACTGGAAATAGTGTAGAAATGACAAAGAAAATGAAACTGGCTTTAATGGATTGAAATATGCAACTTTCTTTATGATTCTTTGCAATTTCCAGTTTATTAAATAATCCTGTTTCTTTTTCAAGCCAATTAAACTGTAATTATGTAAAATGTCTTCCACTTGATGGAAAAAAAAATATTATACCTGTGTTTCAAAGTTAATGTCAAAATCCTACTGCTACACGCTCCTCAACTCTGTACTCCCCAAACTGTAGCCTGTTTAACTCTTTACATTTAAACAGTTTCTCAGTAATAATCACAATTCGACAGTCTGGGATTGTCAATCTAATAGTTAATCCCAGGGGTGGTGCATTGTGTTCAGCTAGGGAGAACGATAAAATGTAAAGCTACTCTTTATGTATACTGTGCCTTATACATCCTACACCCAGCATACATACCTTCCAGAGAGATTCTAGACCTCGTATGATTCATTTTAACATTAGTAGAAGTAGAAAGAAGATATTTAAAAAAACAAAAAACAAGCACCATAGCCATGGCAGCACACTGTAGTGGTTATGGTGCCCTGGTAATATTGTAAGTAGTCAAACCATTTTAGAATGCATTGACTTCTTACGTGAGGTTCACCAGGCAGGCACTACTCCGTTCCCTACCTCCATTACATTACTACTTCCGTTAGCTTTTCTGAGCTAAGCAGTGCATTGGCTGAGAGCATCAACTGATCACTCTCAGCCAATAAGATAAGAATTAAAAAATAAACAAATGGTCTACTATGAATCCTTTGTAGGGTAATAATGAATGCCACTAGTACTCACAGTCACTGCCAAAGTCTCATCTGGGCCCATCGCCTACTAAACAGCCTCTAATCTCTCTGTAACACACAGGAAATCCTAGCTAGGTTTATTTAGCTGCCTGAGATACAACTAGAGATTTAAATCAACTATATTAAAGGATCACTATAGGGTCAGGAACACAAACATGTATTCCTGACCCTATAGTGTTAACACCACCATTTAGCCCCCCTGGGCCTCTCATGCCTCCCTAAATATAGCAAAATCTTACTGTATTCAAGTCTGAAGCTGTAAATCTGCATGCTGTTAGACTCAGAAAAACAAGCAGTCTGCTGACATGTGATAGCCTGATCCAATCACAATGCTTTCCCATAGGATTGGCTGAGACTGACTAAGAGGCAGATCAGGGGCAGAGCCAGCATTATTCAAACACAGCCCTGACCAATCAGCATTTCCTAATAGAGATGAATTGAATCAATGAATCTCTATGAGGAAAGTTCAGTGTCTGCATGCAGAGGGAGGAGATACTGAATCACAGCATGCTGTGCACAGACACAGTGCTGCCCTGTGCTCTGCTGACAGCAGATCTGAGTGGATGCCTCCATCAACTCCGAAGTCCCTCTGCTTCACTCTGAGTGACTGCAACAGGAGGTGTTCCTAGCTTTCAGTGTAAACACTGTATTTTCTCAGAAAATACAGTGTTTACATGAGAAAGGCTGCAAGGAGCTATAGTTCTCACTTGAACAACCTCATTAAGATGAAGTTATTTAGCTGACTATAGTGTCCCTATAAAGAAATATACCCTAAATAAATAGTACATATTTCATTAATATGACAGACCAACACCCTATAATTCTGGTTGGTGGGATTAAAGCAATCCAGACCAACACCCTATGATCCTGGTTGGTAGAATTAAAGGCATCCAGACCAACATCCTTTAATCCTGGATGGTGGGATTAAGGGCACCCAGACCAACACCCTTCAATCCTGGATGGTGGGATTAAGGGGGCCAAGACCAACACCCTATAATTCTGGATGGTGGGATTAAGGGAGCCTAGACCAACACCCTATAATCCTGGATTGTGGGATTAAAGGCACCCAGACCAACACTCTATAACCCTGGATGGTGGGATTAAGGGCTCACAGACCAACACCCTATAATCCTGGATGGTGGGATTAAGGGTGCCCGGACGAACACCCTTAAATCCTGGATGGTGGGATTAAGGGGGCCCAGACCAACACCCTATAATTCTGGATGGTGGGATTAAGGGCGCCCAGACCAACACCCTATAATTCTGAATGGTGGGATTAAGGGGGCCCAGACCAACACCCTATACATCTGGATGGTGGGATTAAGGGCTCCCATACCAACACCCTATAATTCTGGGTGGTGGGATTATGGGCGCCCAGACCAACACCCTATAATTCTGGATGGTGGGATTAAGGGCACCCAGACCAACACCCTATAATTCTGGATGGTGGGATTAAGGGCACCCAGACCAACACCCTTCAATCCTGCATGGTGGGATGAAGGGGGCCCAGACCAACACCCTATAATTCTGGATGGTGGGATTAAGGGCGCCTAGACCAACACCTTGTAATCCTGGATTGTGGGATTAAAGGCACCCAGACCAACACCCTATAATTCTGGATGGTGGGATAAGGGTGCCCAGACCAACCCCCTACAATTCTGGATGGTGGGATTAAGGGCTCACAGACCAACACCCTATAATCCTGGATGGTGGGATTAAGGGGGCCCTGACGAACACCCTCAAATCCTGGATGGTGGGATTAAGGACTTCTAGACCAACACCCTTTAATCCTGGATGGTGGGATTAAGGGGGCCCAGACCAACACCCTATAATTCTGGATGGTGGGATTAAGGGCGCCCAGACCAACACCCTTTAATCCTCGACGGTGAGATTAAGGGGGCCCAGACCAACACCCTATAATTCTGGATGGTGGGATTAAGGGCGCCCAGAACAACACCCTATAATTCTGAATGGTGGGATTAAGGGGGCCCAGACCAACACCCTATAATTCTGGATGGTGGGATTAAGGGCACCCAGACCAACACCCTTTAATCCTGGATGGTGGGATTGAGGGTACCTAGCCCCACATCCTATAATCCCTGATGGTGGGATTAAGGGCGTCCTTGTCCTTTTCTTTAATTGGTTGGTTGAAATTGCTCATACAGTATGATCTACATTTCACACACATATAGAGAGAGGTAGCTGGGAACATGTTTATTGTGGGTCTAAGAAAACTGTTACATATAAAAAAAAAAGCCTTGTAGAACATTAACATACAATGAATTAACTCCGAAACCTCACATAGACCTCCAGCCGCATTGGTGTGAGCAGAATATCACTAACTCCAGCACTGTGTGTTCGTGGAGCTGTGACTCCTAGCACCATGCTAACACTGGCAGCATTTCCATTTTCTCAGAGACCTTTTCAAAGAGTGACAATGATGGATTTACTGACTGATAAATGAAGGCACTAAGTGCCTTTGGAGGGCCCCTAGTATATCTGGAAGCTCTCCAATTTTTCTTCTAATTTGGCAGATTATTTCCAACCTCCCTTTGAGGTTTAACTCTCCCTGCTCTGAGCCCAGTACCACATCCTTAGGTCAGTTACCCTCATATCGTGTCACTAAATCCTGCCCAGCTCAGCTCCGTAGAGCCCAGTACCACATCCTTAAGTCAGTTACCCTCATATCGTGTCACTAAATCCTGCCCAGCTCAGCTCCGTAGAGGCCAGTACTACATTCTTAGGTCAGTTACCCTCATATCGTGTCACTAAATCCTACCCAGCTCAGCTCCGTAGAGCTCAGTACCACATCCTTAGGTCAGTTACCCTCATGTCGTGTCACTAAATCCTGCCCAGCTCAGCTCCGTAGAGGCCAGTACTACATTCTTAGGTCAGTTACCCTCATATCGTGTCACTAAATCCTACCCAGCTCAGCTCCGTAGAGCCCAGTACCACATCCTTAGGTCAGTTACCCTCATATCGTGTCACTAAATCCTACCCAGCTCAGCTCCGTAGAGCCCAGTACCACATCCTTAGGTCAGTTACCCTCATGTCGTGTCACTAAATCCTACCCAGCTCAGCTCCGTAGAGCCAGTACCACATTCCTTAGGTCAGTTACCCTCATGTCGTGTCACTAAATCCTACCCAGCTCAGCTCCGTAGAGCCCAGTACCACATCCTTAGGTCAGTTACCCTCATGTCGTGTCACTAAATCCTACCCAGCTCAGCTCCGTAGAGCCCATTACCACATCCTTAGGTCAGTTACCCTCATGTCGTGTCACTAAATCCTACCCAGCTCAGCTCCGTAGAGTACCATCCTTAGGTCAGTTACCCTCATGTCGTGTCACAGCTCAGCTCCGAGCCCAGTACCACATCCTTAGGTCAGTTACCCTCATGTCGTGTCATTAAATCCTACCCAGCCCAGCTCCGTAGAGCCCAGTACCACATCCTTAGGTCAGTTACCCTCATGTCGTGTCACTAAATCCTACCCAGCTCAGCTCCGTAGAGCCCAGTACCACATCCTTAGGTCAGTTACCCTCATATCGTCAGCTCACCCAGTACCACATCCTTACAGTTACCAGCGTGTCACTAAATCCTACCCAGCTCAGCTCCGTAGAGCCCAGTACCACATCCTTAAGTCAGTTACCCTCATGTCGTGTCACTAAATCCTGCCCAGCCCAGAGGCTCAGCTCCGTAGAGAGCTCAGTACCACATCCTTAGGTCAGTTACCCTCATATCGTGTCATTAAATCCTACCCAGCTCAGCTCCGTAGAGCCCAGTACCACATCCTTAGGTCAGTTACCCTCATATCGTGTCACTAAATCCTACCCAGCTCAGCTCCGTAGAGCCCAGTACCACATCCTTAGGTCAGTTACCCTCATGTCGTGTCACTAAATCCTACCCAGCTCAGCCCGTAGAATGTAAAGCACAGTATAGGACTTGGGGCAAGCCTGCAAACAAGACCTTGACATGAATGCTGCAGGTCCCCCATCACTACAAAGAAGATGAATAATATGGCCATAAGAAATGTATTAGGGGCAAAAGGAAGGCAGTTTAGGCCATGGGAGGGGCACGGCAGAATTTGGTATTTTCTAGTATATGAATATCGGAATGATAAATCATCAGCTTTTCCAGAACTACGATACTCTGAAGCTTTCACTTCTGTAAGGCTGACAAAGATTCATGGTAGTTGTAGTTCTACAAAAACTGGGGGTTCCCATTTTCACTCATTCTAATTGCTGCATTGTGAGACTGTTGAAACATTAATCCTCCATTTATGTACAATGTTATTACTTTATACTGCAACACTATCACATTCATTTCTCACTATGCATAAAAAGAAGCCCTTTCCCCCCACTGGGAAGAAATATCTGGCAATGTTCACTTAAATCATCAACCTATTGTCTATTGGTTCAAAATAGCTGCAAACCAGCCGATTCAACTGCATTATCTCAAAATAGAATGGATCTGTTTCCAAACGAGCTTCATAGCAGCATTTTCCAAGCTCTCGGTGCTCTGTGATTGTCATGTTGTTATCGAAAATGCGTGCTGATTATGACTGCGGGGGGAAAACATTGCACAGTTAAAAATCAGCCAAAAATGAAACCATCAGAGAAATGACGCTTGGCAGGCATTAGTTAATTTCATTTCTGTTTTATTGCAAAAAAGAGGGGGTTGTAGAAGATGGATAGCGAGAGCAGTTGGTGAAAAAATTTGGGAAGATATTCTTGTGTGTTTTGGGGTCTATTCACTAAACTGTGAATTTAGTTTATGTGTAAAGGAGGAGGGTGGTGTGATCTGTTTTTAAAGGGGAAGTTACTGTCACTAAAGTCTTGGATGACAAAGTTTGCTTCCTGTGAAATCTGCTGCAAATATACAGATCAACCCCCTTCTCTCCCAACGATGTGACTAAATGGGCAGCCAAGGTACGCATCCATGTTCAAACATGTTGTACACATATCTCTCAATTTTGTAATAGAGTAAAATAAAATAAATTCATATTATTATTATTATTATTGGTTCATGGTATTATGTCTTGAACAAAAATATATGGAAAATCATGTGGGGTCCTAACATTGGACCACCCTGTATAGATTATGAAGTTATTATTTGACCCAAAGAATCTCCTTGTTTGCTTGGCGGGCATACCCTCAGGGAATACCCTCAGTCTCCGAGTTTACACAGAACGCTTTTGAGAGAGTACCAGTAGTTGTTTGGTTCATGTAAACCTGGAACCTGGAATAAACAAGCCCTTTTTACTGGGTTCACTGCTATACTGATAATTTTATGGAAATCTCTTAATAGTAATAGATTAGATTAACATGCAACTATAAGAGCTAACCTGTATCTTGTCTTCATTCATATCAGGAGGTTTTAATTAGTGAAAGGACAGACAAGGGAGAATCCCTTATCTTGTCCAGTGAGCAGGACATTGTGCAGTCACATCCACAAGCAGAAACTGAGGATCCATTACACCTACAAGAAGGTGCAACTGTTCCTCAACGCCAAGAAAGTGGCATTGAGTCTTTGCAAATTCCAGAGGAAAATGCAGCCCATCACACTACTGATATTGGCCATATTCCACCTCAAGATGAAGGAGATAAGTCTAGTGGATCTCATACAGTGGTCAATACGGTTTCTGTGAATCATGAAGATATTACTACTTTGTCTGGGCCCCAGGAAGAAGACATTGTGCCAAGTATATACAATGTTCTGACATCTCTGACCCAAGAGGAAGGACATGCACCTTCATTGTCTCATTCTGATTCAGAAGGTACCAGTCAATCAGAGGTGCAAGAAGGTGGTATTACTGTTCATGATAATACTGCATATTTGATACCTCCTGAAGAAACTACAGTTCCTGTAATGCCCAGTGAAGTGGACAACACACAATCAATTCACCTGGATAATGCTACAGCTGTCCCTTTACCTGCAGAAGATGGCCTTGGTTCCATTTCTTCTACAGAGAAAGAGACATCACCTGCTGTGCAGCATGAAGAGGTCCATGTGGAACTGAGATCCACATCTTCTCCAGATCATCTGGAAGTGAGTGCCACATTATCAGAGCAGATAAATGAAAAATTGCCCTTTGAGCACTTACAGAATAACATGGAGGTTCCGCTTATCACTGAGCAGCCTCCTCTGGAGGAAGATGATACTGCCCAGCCTCCTGAATCTCCTAAGGAACAAGCCTCCTTGTCAAGCCATCCTGTAGATCTCCTTCTGATGAACTTACAAGATGCAGCCAGCTCTGTGGAGACCCCCGAAAAGGGGGTAAGTAATCTGCTTTTTAACAATAAGTGAAATTACTTGTTTAATAAGAATAATGATTCCAATATTTTTTTCAAGGTTTATTAACTAAACTCGCAGTGTTTGTTTCTGATTGGCATAACTGACGCAAAATAGCTGATCTGTTAAAATTCTCTCAATCAGCCATTGCCAGAACTTTGCTATTTTTGCCTCGGTTATGCCATTCAGAATTAATCTGCAAGTGTGTCACATTCACAGGACCTCCACTGTTGATGGGTGAAACCTACACTTCTTGTGATATTTAGATCAAACTCACTTTTCAATGTGATAGCCAGACTCTTGCACAATGGAGGTTATTTAATAAAAGGAATTGTGCTGAATTACTAACCGAATTGCAGGACTTATGTTAAAATAAGCAAGCTATAGAACAGCTTTATTGGTCTGAAATTTGCTATTTGATTTTTCATTTACCATAATTCTCAGGTTACTAACTAGACAATAAAAGGGGAATATTTACTAACGTGAGCATTATGGAGATTTTATGATTGGTTTAGATGTTTAAATGTTAGCCAAAATAGCCTAACTGAACAATTCTCCAATTCAGCATTTTCCCCCATTTTTGGACTAAACTGTGCAATTTTCCACAATTCCAATCTTAGAGAATATCGCCCCATAATTTCTTCCATACTGTTCCTTCCTGCCATTACTTCCCAACGTTTTTTTGTTTTTTTAATTTAGGAACTTTCTTTATATATCCAAATGCTGTACATTTTAAGCTTGGTGTTTCCTGCTGTGATTAATTGCACATCAAAAATCAAAATGAGTACTTTTCCCCTCCCTGGTTTATATTCTGCTGTTCTCTCGCAGTGTGAAATGATTGGTTGTGGGAAATGGTGACTTTTTGCTTTTCAAATAACACAGATTGTATGTTAGGGGTAATTGCTCCAAACTAGTATATTAAGGCCTATAGCATAAGGCCTAGATTTGGCCTATATATCATGTAGATGATCTTCTACAGCATACTTCTGATCTTCTGATCTATAGCATACTGGAGCAAGTCCTAAATGCTCTTGAATTTGTTGAATTGGCTATTAGAATTTAACCTTGGCCAAGTGGACTAAGGATTATGAGAATTATTGTTCAACGTAACATTAATGGGACATTTCACTGCCAAAATACAATTATTATTATTTTTAATTGCCATTTAGTATGTATACTCCAATGGTTACATGCATGCATAATTTTACCTCTCCCCCCCCCCATTAAGTGTATATCTAAAACAGCTAGCAAACTGTGCAGATCTCTTGTCTGCAGCCAATACAAGCCCTCTCCTTCTTCCTCAGCACAGACTCTCTTTGTCTGTCCAATCACAGACTTCCCAATGCAGCTCAATGAGACGTCTTTTCAAAGTAGATGATCTAGGCCAGTGGTTTCCAAAACAGTCCTCAAGACCCACCAACAGTCCAGGTTTCTCAGTATCTGCATTGGAAGAAAACTGTTAATTATATAAATCCTGGACTGCTGGTGGACCATGAGGGCTGGTTTGAGAACCATTGCTCTAATCAATTTCCTGTCTCTTGACTTTAGCTCCATTCAGCTAAACAACCAGAAGGTAACAGGACCAGTTGTCTGATTCACAGCCATAGGGTGTAAAAAGTAGGGATCGATCGACTATCGGTTTTACCAATATTATCGTCCGATATTAGGTATTTTCGGCAATATCGGTATCGGCCAATATCGATACCGATATTGCCGATAATACATACCAGGACCGCCGGGCCTATGACAAGCCCGGCGGTCCTGGGGGTGCCGGCAGCAAGCAGTTACTCACCTCCCAGCAGCTCCCTCCAGCTCCCCTGTCTAAATCTCGGGAGGCCCACGGCCGCAGAACGTTGCCACGGGCTAATATGGCAATGCTCCGCACGGCACGCAGACCGCGAGAGTTAAACTGGGGAGCTGGAGGAGCTGCTGGGAGGTGAGTAACTGCTTGTTGCCGGCCCCCCCCACTGCTCAGTACAAGCCACTGGACCACCAGGGACTGTCATATCCCCCCTCCCTGGCCAGGTAACAAGCAGGGAGGGGGGGCAAAAATAAAAACATATAAATATTAAAATTAAAAAAACACACTGCAGATAAAAAAAATAAAACGTATAAATATTAAAAATACAATTAAAATAAAAAATGCCTCCCCTCCTGCCCATTTTACACAAATTACATCCCTCACAAACACACACACTGCATTCATTATACACACACACTATACAAACACACACACAGCATTCATTATACACACACACACAGCATTCATTATACACATACACTGCATTCATTATACACACACACACTATACAAACACACACACTGTATTCATTATACACACACACTGCATTCATTATATACACACACTATACAAAAACACACACACTGCATTCATTATATACACACACTATACAAACACACACTGCATTCATTATACACACACACTATACAAACACACACACACTGCATTCATTATACACACACACTATACAACACACACACACACTGCATTCATTATACACACACACTATACAAACACATACACACACTGCATTCATTATACACACACTATACAAACACACGCACACACTGCATTCATTATATACACACTATATAAACACACACACTGCATTCATTATATATACACTATACAAACACACACTGCATTCATTATATACACATACACACACACACTCTATACAAACACACAGTCTATACAAACACACACACACTATACAAACACACACACACTATACACACACACTGCATTCATTATATACACACACACTACACAAACACACACACTCTGCATTCATTATATACACACACTATACAAACACACACTCTGCATTCATTATATACACAGACTACACAAACACACTGCATTCACTTTACGCACACTGCATTCAGTATATACACACTGCATTCACTTTACGCACACTACACACACTGCATTCACTTTACGCACACTACTTTCACTACACACATTCACTATACACACACTACACAAACACACACTCTGCATTCACTATATATACACACTACACAAACACTCCCTGCATTCACTTTACACACTACACACTCACTGCATTCACTATACACACTACACACTCACTGCATTTACTATACACACTACACAAACACACCCTGCATTCATTATATACACACTACACAAACACACACTGCATCCACTACACACAAACACACAGCTCCCCTGTCTAAACACACTCCATCCACTACATGTGGCATGCATATTTTGTGCATTTACCTTTAAAAATAGTTTATTTTTTCAAAATGGTAAATGTACAGAATATCGGCAAGTTATCGGCTATCGGCCTGAAAGTTCACAGATTATCGGTATCGTCGGCTTTAAAAAAAACAACATCGGTCGATCCCTAGTTAAAAGGTTAATTTTATAAAAGTGTAATCTGCACTGAAATCTGCACTTTTTGTAAATTTAACTAAAAGACAACACATTCTTCACAAATAAAGCACTAAAGCAAGCTAACATACTTCAGGTGTTTGGGGTGTCCCTTTAAGAATTTATTCATGAAAAATAGGGAGTTGTGTTGTGGTTATATTAGAACTACCATAATGGACAAAAAGAACCAAATTAGGAAAGCAGCAAAATGGTAGAATCTATTTTTGCCTATATTTTGCAATATAAATTTCAACTCATCAGCTGTTTATCTGATAGTATCTGGCAGGTTCTACTGTTATCCCTGATTTTACAAATTGTGAACTGCAGGTCTTTCTTTCCAAATCAAAATAAACATAAATGGATTACACACATCATATACAGCCTATACATATTACAAAGAAGGCAAAACCCCAGTCTGAAACGCTTCCAATTTTGCAACAAACTAGGAAAATATTACTTCTTGACCCCAAAATAGCAGTCAGATATCTCCTTGGACCAAGCAGCTATTACCCCACTAATTAGAAATTATATCCCTGTATGTTACGTTTTTGCAAGTATTTATCCAATGGCTGTTTAAACATCTGTATAAATTCTGATAAAACCACCTCTTCAGGCAGGGAATTCCATATCCTTATAGTTCTTACTGTAAATAAACCTTTTCTTTGCCTTAGATGAAATCTCCTTTCTTCCAGCCTAAATGTGTGACCTCGTGTCCTATGTATAGCCCTGTTTATGAATAGATTTCTAGATAATGGTTTGTATTGGCCCCGAATATATTTGTATAATGTTATCATATCCCCTCTCAGGCAACGTTTTTCCAAACTAAACAGATTTAAATTTGTTAACTTTTATCCATTGCTGATACGTTCCATTCCTTTTATCAATTTTGTAGCTCGACTCTGCACATTTTCTAGTGCGATGATATCCTTCTTTAAAACAGGTGCCCAGAATTGCACAGCATATTCAAGGTGTGGTCTTACCAGCGATTTATAAAGAGGCAAAATATTTTTTTCATCCTGAGACTTGTTTATAAATGACAAAACCTTACTGGCCTTAGCAACTCCCGATTGACATATACTATATGCTGGGATTAGCTACACTTCCTGGTATACATTTAAAACATTACTAAGTTTACATAAGGTTAATGGACACCTGCATTTAAAGAGCCATGTGAATGTCTATGAATGCAGGATTACAGCATGCTATACACTGCTGTATGTCATACTACAACAACATACGTGTAAATGGCGCTATACTATCACTGTGCTCTTTTGTTATATTTTTTCACCAATTTACAGATGACTATGACTTTTATTAAATAGGAACAGACTGACCCAATATATACCAAGCTCTGATAAATCCAATAAGTCAAAGCTGAAATAATTGGATTGCATTATTTATACTTTATTGGACAGGACCTTAGATACTAACGGATAATAGAAACTGCCTTATTAACGTTAGTGTAACTCATTAAGTGACACTTGATAGCTGCTGTTACTCTAAATATATTGAGGCCTGTCTATTATCAAGGGACATGTATAACTGAACAGATGTCTGTCACATAGAAAGAAGTAAAACAAATAACGTAGAAACTAAATTAAATAAGTTAATATAATATATATATATATAATACAAAAAATATGTCAAACCCCTGCACTCCAACAAAAAAATATATTTTACCTGGTGCTCTGGTAGCTCAATTGTAGAAAGTGGAAAGACCGGCACTCAAGGAGTTTTAACAGCTTTTACTGTGTAAAAATAAATCAACGTTTCAGCTCCACTAGGGAGCTTTCATCAGGACATACATATATATACAGTTGCAAGAAAACGTATGTGAACCCTTTGGAATGATATGGATTTTTGCACAAATTGGTCATAAAATGTGATCTGATCATCATCTAAGTCACAACAATAGACAATCACAGTCTGCTTAAACTAATAACACACAAAGAATGAAATGTTGCCATGTTTTTATTGAACACACCATGTAAACATTCACAGTGCAGGTGGAAAAGTATGTGAACCCTTGGATTTAATAACTGGTTGAACCTCCTTTGACAGCAATAACTTCAACCAAACGTTTCCTGTAGTTGCAGATCAGACGTGCACAACGGTCAGGAGTAATTCTTGACCATTCCTCTTTACAGAACTGTGTCAGTTCAGCAATATTCTTGGGATGTCTGGTGTGAATCACTTTCTTGAGGTCATGCCACAGCATCTCAATCGGGTTGAGGTCAGGACTCTGACTGGGCCACTTCAGAAGGCGTATTTTCTTCTGTTTAAGCCATTATGTTGTTGATTTACTTCTATGCTTTGGGTCATTGTCCTGTTGCAACACCCATCTTCTGTTGAGCTTCAGCTGGTAGACATATGGCCTTAAGTTCTCCTGCAAAATGTCTTGATAAACTTGGGAACTCATTTTTCCTTCGATGATAGCAATCCGTCCCGGCGCAGCAAAGCAGCCCCAAACCATGATGCCCCCACCACCATACTTCACAGTTGGGATGAGGTTTTGATGTTGGTGTGCTGTGCCTTTTTTTCGCCACACATAGTGTTGTGTGTTTCTTCCAAACAACTCAACTTTGGTTTCATCTGTCCACAGAATATTTTGCCAGTACTGCCGTGGAACATCCAGGTGCTCTTGTGCAAACTGTAAACGCGCAGCAATGTTTTGTTTGGACAGCAGTGGCTTCCTCTGTGGTATCCTCCCATGAAATCCATTCTTGTTTAGTGTTTTACGTATTGTAGATTCGCTAACAGGGATGTTAGCATTTGCCAGTGACTTTTGTAAGTCTTTAGCTGACACTCTAGGATTCTTCTTCACCTCATTGAGCAGTCTGTGCTGTGCTCTTGCAGTCATCTTTACAGGACGGCCACTACTAGGGAGAGTAGCAGCAGTGCTGAACTTTCTCCATTTATAGACAATTTGTCTTACAGTGGACTGATGAACATCAAGGCTTTTGGAGATACTTTTATAACCCTTTCCAGCTTTATGCAAATCAACAATTCTTAATCGTAGGTCTTCTGAGAGCTCTTTTGTGCGAGGCATCATTCACATCAGGCAATGCTTCTTGTGAAAAGCAAACCCAGAACTGGTGTGTGTTTTTTATAGGGCAGGGCCAACACCTCCAATCTCATCTCATTGATTGGACTCCAGTTGGCTGACATCTCACTCCAATTAGCTCTTGGAGATGTCATTGGTCTAGGGGTTCACATACTTTTCCACCTGCACTGTGAATGTTTACATGGTGTGTTCAATAAAAACATGGCAACATTTCATTCTTTGTGTGTTATTAGTTTAAGCAGACTGTGATTGTCTATTGTTGTGACTTAGATGATGATCAGATGATCAGATCACATTTTATGACCAATTTGTGCAGAAATCCATATCATTCCAAAGGGTTTACATACTTTTTCTTGCAACTGTATGTGTGTGTATATATATATAGCTTTATTATTTTACTTTTTGATCTTTTGTTCAAAAAATACACAACAATACTCGACTTATGGATTTTAGACAATTGAAAACACAACACAGGTTTATCCAAAATAATAAATATTTGCTGAATATATGTGTGGCATCCTTTTAGTCAGTACTTTGGGTTACATCCCTTTGCCAAGATACCAGCTCTGAGTCTTCTCAGAGTGGACTCCTGGTTGTAGTGGTCTTGGTGCTTATATTGCTACTGTAAGTCACAAAATAGTCAATTACGGTTAATTAAAATCCAATTTTCAAGATAAGGAAATACTACAGAGTTGGAGATTTTTTTTTCATCGCAAATTTGCTATTGTGGCCTTAAATCAGCAAATTTGACTTACGTGTAGCCACAATTTGCAGTTTAGAATATAAGTTCAGCAAGTAAAGTATATAGAATTATGCTATTAGGAATTAGCAATATTAAAGGAACACTCCAGACTCCTAAAGTAATTTAGCTTGCTGAAGTGCTTTATATGTAAAGACAGTGTCCACTTTTTTTTCACTGCAAAAAGTGCAGATTTCAAAAGGAATTGGCATGTTTAGAAATCAACCTTGTTACACCTACCCACCCCCCCACCCCTTGCCAGCAGTCTGACAACTGGTCCTGTTACTTCCTGGAACTTTAGTTCAATGGAGTTAAATTCAAGAGGCAGCAATTGCCCAAAACACCTGCCTTGCAAAGACTTCTCATTGAGCTACACTGTGAAGTCTGTGATTGGACAGCCACAGAAAATCTGGGCGGGGTTAGAAGAGGAGGGCTTGCAAAGGCTGAAGATAAGAGATCTATACTTTTTTACAAACTGTTTTTAAACATACAATGAAATGCATGCTTGTTTTTTTTATTTGGTTTATATGTACTAAACAGTGAACTTGATTTCTCTTTGTATTTGGGAATTGGAGTCTCCCTTTAACTATATGTTAAACTGCCTATATTGTATATATCTAAATGTATTATCTTAATCGTAATTTTAACTTATTTTGGAGCAATTCCTCCTGGGTATTTCTGTATAAAACCCCTAAAATTGTAAGCTTTTTAAGGGAATCTATATTTATTATGTTTCTTGTGTTTATAAGCCTATAAAATATGACAAAGTCGCCCTGCACAGCTTTGCTGTTACAAATAGATTAATATATCAGTCAGCCCATGGTACAAGCCACCTTTACAGATGCATTTTCATGCTTTATGGCCCAAACATTTTAGGAAAGCTATGTTTAAATTTAGCATGACAGGAACCGAATTATAAATCCCCTTGCTTTGTGTGATCATGTGCTTATTGCCGCAATCTGACTGTGATTTTATACCTTGTACTGAGATCTCTGTATGTTATTGTCAGTATACTATTAAAATGATATTTTCACAGCATGTAATCTCACTTGGTGTACTGCAAAGTTCTCAATTTCCCTGCGATAAAACCTTTTTTCCAGTTATTCAGGATGAATCTAAATTACCGCATGTCTCTCTGTGGAACATGGTTGATTCTTAGCATAAATGCCAATCAGTTCATTGCTGAGTACATAAAGGGTTTGTAATGGGACAGATGCAAAAATCTATGGCTCGATGTGTAAAATGTGCTTACTCCTGTATCTGCTTCTATTGATTCCCATGAAGTCAATCTTCACTTGTTTGATAATGTGTGTGGACAAAATGCGGTAAAAATCAATGCAATCCTGTATGTTCATGAAAATATTCTAAGGATTAAATTAATTTGTGCTATGCTTGCTATTAATCACATCTTTCTATAAAGATCTATAAGAGGGCATAGATCTTTACTGCATAAATTTGGGCAATAGTAATAAATTGAGCATCTGCTTGTTTACAAAATCATGAAATTAATAAACAACATTCTCAACTAACGAGTTAAAAGGGTGTGAAATATTTAAAGGTTTTGTGTTGATGTATGTATAAAAATGAACAATTTAAATTTTACATTTTTAAGATCACTTCCTTTCTGCAATCAGGACATTTACATGGCAGCATATACATGTAAAATATAAAAATGAAAGTATAAAATATGTATTCCTAACGCTATAGAGCCCTAACGCTATAGAACCATTTATTTGTTTAACTTAATCCAGCGCCGGGCTCCCTTGGCACTGGTGACCACTCCTCCTCCATCGATGTCAGCTACCGAGTGGAGCAGAATGCGCATGTGCGGCCAGAGGCGTGCGCGCATTCAAACCCGCCCATAGGAAAGCATTACTCAATGCTTTCCTTTGGGGATCCTTTTTGACACTGGACTCCATGAGGACGTCCAGCATCAAATAAGTGCGATTTACTCAGTGTAAATCGTAGAAGCAGCCTCTAGTGGCTGTCAGGGAGACAGCCACAAGAGGCAGGTTTAACCCTGCATTGTAAACATAGCAGTTTCTCTGAACTGCAGGGTTAAACTAGGGGGACCTGGCACCCAGACCACTTCATTGAGTTGAAGTGGTCTGGGTGCCTGTAGTGGTCCTTTAAACCAAAATGCAAATAAAGATAGAATAAAATATCCCTCAAATTTGCAGCTATCCTTTTCCTTGTAAATTAGAAGACTTTTGACAATTCAAACTGTATTGGGCACATGCAAGAGAGAGAGAGAGAAATATAATATATATACAGTGGGACCTCGGATTACAAATGCCTCGGTTAAGATCATTTTCGGTTTACAAATGAAAATCCATTGAAAATAATGCCTCGGTTTACAAAATTGTTTCGCAATACAAAGCAAGTTTCCCCAGGATGTATTGCACCTGGGAGGTTTATAGAGCCGCCCACTGCATGCTGGAGCCTGTGGGTAGCACGTGGCATTGAGTGTGGAGGTGTTGGAGCGGATTATGCATCGAGTTTTGGAGCCATTCTGGAAATTGTTTGCAGTTGTTTTGGGACTTTTTGGTGCATTTCTCAAGCTGTGGAAAGGTAGGGAGCTGAGCTTCATCGTTTGCATGTCTTTTATTGTGTGTTCAGCATTGTGGGTTGGTTTCCATGCCAGCTCGTTTCGACTTATTTCTGACCTCCAGAATGGATTAATTGGTTTTCAATGCATTCCTATGGGAAATCGCATTTCGGTTTACAAATTTTTCACAATAAGAAACGTCCCGGAGAACGCATTAAATTCGTAAACCGGGGTCCCACTGTATAGGGAAATATTGGCAAATTACCAAAATCACAAAAACAAGATTTCTATACTTTTATACAGACGGTAAATCAACTCTTGTTCTTCCACTGTATCTTTATTTTTTATTTTCTAATAATTACACTCAAGTACAAGTGTTTCACCTTCATCAATAGACCTTTTCAAGGTAACCTTTAAATAGGTCTATATATGAAGGCAAACGCGTTGGGTGTGGAGTACTAGGGCCATAAAGAGACATTAAACTGTATTTTATGCTGCACTTGCAGTTTGGTGGTGCTTTTTATCTTCCGACAGCTCCTTTCATTTAGTAATAAATTTTATATTCAGTATTACATTGTGCCTTTATTTCATTTTGTTTGACTGTAATTATAAGAAGAGGCCAAATGAAAATCCAGTGGAAGATTTTTTTCCAAAGAATCATTTAGAAAGGTCGTTGAGACATCTTTATTTATACCTATCGCAGAGACGCAAATTAGACCAATATGTTCGCGCTTTGCGCTTCCAATAATGTTTTTTATTTTTATATTTTCCCTTAGCTCCCATTTCCTTTGTAATTATCATATTAGCAGCATACATTTTTTCTCCTTTTTTTTGTGTGTGGTAGACAGCCGCGCTAAATCTTAAGTCAGTATAGAAATAAAATAGTATAATGCTGTATAGGGAATACTTTATAACAATGTTTAAGGGTCCGGAAGGATTCTAAACAGATTTGCAGAATGTATCCTTTTATATCCTATCTGTTTCCCTTTAGGCAATCGCGAATCCACAGAATAATAGTCAAATTAAATATGTGATAGGATCAGTGTAATCCATTTAGTAACAAATAAGCCAGAGGCTCGATTGTGTCCTTTGTACTATGATAACAGCTCACCTGCAGAAACGAGGTTATATAAGCTGTAAATCCTGTGGGTGATTGGAGCACAGCACATGATATGAGTCGCTACAGTGGGCAAAAGAGGTTTTAGTTGATAAACTGTCGAGTACTCACTCTATTATCAAATGAAATGTGACATTGAGATCCTTGAGAGATTTTAACCAAAGTCTTTATAAACTTATTTATTCTGATAAATGTGATTCTAACATTTCTTCAGTAGAGACAAGAGCTGGCGTAGGCCCTAGAATTGCTGTGGTTGTACACCCATAATGTACCAGGTGTTGCCCTAGTGTTAGGGTAAGCCATTGCCTGTCAGGTACACATAAGATTGGCAGGGCATCATGGGAAGCATAGTCTATTTATTTAGAAGAGTCACAGGTAGATTATGGTTTAGTTATATCAAGGTTGGCTCAGGTCCCAGGCTGTCTGGCAAAAACAGAAATTGGTTCAAAAGCATATGAAATAGTATGTTTTTATGTGTGATAAGTAAGGGAATTAGTATGGTTTTTGGAATGACGATATGAGTGCTTGGGTGATTTAGTGACAGTTGATAGTTGAGTCCTAAATGAAGAGTAGGTGAGGTTCCATAATATGATGAAGGACACTAGAACTTTCAGTTGTTGGTAGGATTGAATAATGCTAGAATATAACATGGAAGATCTCACAAAGTCAATGTCTCAAGCATTTGACATTCAGTTCTCCAGCTGAAATGGAAAACCAACTCAGTGTGTTCTTTGCATGGCAGTCATGTTTCCTAGGGGAGAACTGCCTCACTCATTACTCAGTGGTTAGCATTAACTGATTATATATCAAGGGATATATAGATAGATAGATAGATAAACTCTGTATATCTCTCTATACTGGCTGTTGGGTACAAAAGAGAAAGCTTAAAACAATAATAGACAGGGAGCTAACATGGAGGTGTCCAGTTACAGGATAAAGAGGCATGAGTTTCTACATTTAATTCTATTTTTTTGTTTGTTTACGCATTATACATATTTGTTAAATTTTCCATATATGCAGTTCCACTTTAAGTTGCAATGGAACCATATAACCCTTTGTATATCAGCTACTAACTCTAACAGGAGGCACCATTTATTTTCTGGACCTAGGGGAGCTTAACTGATGGTAGTCGTAGCTCCATAACAGCTGGAAGGCTTGTTATTGATTACTTCAGTGTGTGTGTGTGTATGTGTATATATATATATATATATATATATAACAGTGTCCATATCATCTATTGGCTAAATCTTGGCAGAGCATGGGGAATCTCCACAACACAGTGAGACTGCTGCCTATATATACACCCAAGTCCTACAATGTGTACTAGAGTCACGTACTTATGCCTGGGTCTACATCTTCTCTCATAAATCTCAGATACAAATAAAAGCCAGATGCCTAGAACCTAAAGACCATTACTAACATTCTTCTGCCCATGAGAATGTACTTGCACCAGATAGCATGTGACCTTTCTTACAATGGTCATCATAAGGAGAAAGCATGGAACCCCAAATACCCTGGGACACGGGTTGGCAAACTGTGGTGCAGGGTATCTTTGCATGACACACAAGATTGCCAGACTCACATGAGCCAGTTGAGAAGATTAGAGGATCTCCCCAGCCAGGACCCTGTGGTCTCCACCTTTAGTGGGTGCAACCACTACAGGTTAACCTCCCTCACGTACTGTCATTTCTCTGGCATCCAGAGTATTGTCATAGGTTACCATGGCAATGATCTGTCTCACTGTTAAGAAACAAAGTACCAATTGGTTTGCACCCTTTGAAGGAGCACCCCGCAAGATCTACACACGAGATCACCGGGATTAACGAAGATGTATGCCCCTTTCCTTGGAAAAGAAGGGAGCATTAAAAACACTATAATCTTGTTTATTTAAAGGATGTATTCAGTGCAGAAATAGTACCCCACAATAACCCTGCAGTTATCAGCCCCACAGACAAACCCCACGCAACACTTTAGAAAGCCACCACACTTACACATCCTGCAAACAGCTTCCCTACACATGTAACTATCACAGACAGCTGACAGTACACATACAAGTACTACAAGCTACCTACATACCGATAGACCACACACATATGTAACCGGTAGCCCATAAAAAACCCGCAGTACTACAAACTGTTTACATACACATACAACCAAAGACAGCTACCACCACACACAAGCAATACCATGGAAAAGCCAACATACAAACCGGTAACATCACTGACAACCTTCACCCAACACACACATACATGACTACAGACAGCCCACATATATACATACATAACACAACAGGCAATTAACATAAATACACAATACCACAAACAGTCTAGATATATACATAACACCACAGACAGCCCCATGCATATAAGTATCGTAAAGAGAGCACACACATAAACACACAGAATGTCACAAAAGGCCCATGTACACACAATCCCACAATTTTCCCATACACGTGCATGCAATGCTAAAAAAAACCACTACACTCACAAATATCACCATATGCACTCACATAACACCACAGACATCTCACACATATACATAGCACACACACACACACACACACACTACATACAACCTACATATATAATATAAACACACATATATACATAGGCGTGCGCCGCCTATTGCATAAGGTTGTGCACCCTAAAGCACAAACACACACGCCGTGTATATATATATATATATATATATATATATATATATATATATACACACATACACTGCTGTGTGTAGGTGCTGTGTGTGTGTGTGTGTGTGAGGGCGATGTGTGTGTGTGAGGGCGCTGAATGTGTGTAAGGGTGCTGTGTGTGTTTGTGAGGGTGCTGCTAGTGTGTGTGTGTTTGTAATGGTGCTGTGTGTGAGGACACAATGTGTTTGTGAGGGTGCTGTTAGTGTGTGTGTTTGTGTGTAAGGGTACTGTGTGTGTGAGGGTGCTGTTAGTGTGTGTGAGGGCACTGTGTGTGTGTGAAGGTGCTGTTAGTGTGTGTGTGTAAGGGTGCTGTGTGTGAGGATGCTGTGTGTGTGAGGGTACTGTGTGTGTATGTGTAAGAGTGATGTATATGTGAGGGTGCTGTTAGTGTGTGTGGTGTTTGTGTGTATTGTGTGTGGAGGTGGGGGGTACTATCCCCCCTCCCTTATTACCTTTTGTAGGGAGGGTGGACCATGCTGCTGCCATTCCTGGTGAGTGAACTCTAGCCTGCGGCAACGCTCCGACCTCGCTAGAGGAACCTGACGGAGCTGCTGGCTAGAGCTCCCCGGGTCCTCTCCTGCCTGTGGGCCGGTGAGGGAGAACTTTGATCTCCCTCACCGGTCCATTGAGGCACATATTGCGGGCCGCGGGGATATGTGTGTGTATATATATGTGTGTGTGTGTGTGTGTATATATATATATATATATATATATATATATATATATATATAAACATAAAGCAGGTGTTCACCATACTCATGCAGAATTCTCCAACATACATAAACATTACTTTAAAAACAAACAAACAAACAGAAACAGCTTTGGCACAGCGCAATCAAACGGTGTCCTACTCCTGTCCTGTGACATTCCTTTTAGACTCCTTGGGAAAAGAGGAGTGTGTTTATTTCCTTGACTGATGGACATCCAATGATCCTCCTGAGGATGAAACGCTATTTGAAACAAATCTATCCAGTTTAGAAACGCATTACCATGATTTCTAGAGGTATTGATAATATTAATTACAGCGTATTCTGTAAAGTAAGGTGAAGTAATACTAAACACTGAATTCATTATCTGTTGGTTATTGGGTTGATGCAGCCCTGGAATATGCATTTTTAAAATATATTAACCCTTAAATGTGAATTCTTAACCCCTTGCGTTCTGAACAGAGCTCCACGCTATGTGTTATTTAACCCCTTTTGAAACCCAAGAGGCTTATGACCAGCTCTTGGCTTAGCACAAATTGGATCCCCCAAAAGCCAGCTATGACTAGACAGCAGGTACCCCTAGAAATATCTATAAATCGAATGATGGAGCAGTAAATGTGATTTTAAATGATTATTTTATTTTAAGTGTTTGAATCTGTGTGATAGATGTGATTTGTATTGATTACACAGACTGTGTTTAGGAGTAAGCAGTCTGTAGCTTGGCAGCTGTTGTATTCCTGATGGCTATGCCTAGTGCGATTTGTCATTTAATAACTTTTTCAGGTCCAACACATTAGCTAGTCTTCCTTTGCCTTTATTGGATAGTCGACAATGAATATATGAATTGTATAGGAGCAATAATTATCACCTCAAGGACAAATCTCAGCCTCATGAGGGCAAACATTGACAGCCCTGGCATTTGTGATAAACATTTCTCAATATGGTGGCTGGCTGAGCATCGTGGGTATTGTAATTCTCAAATCGTTAAGATTTCAAGATTTGCCAACACTGGCCTATCAGAAGCAGAACTTATCCAACTCGTCAATTTTGGCCTAACCTTTTACAATTTGGACGTTTCATCAAAATTTAACTGTTTAGTGCATCCAACCCTTGGCAGTTTTAAGACCCTGATTGGTGACGCATAGACAATCTTTGCTCCCTAAGAGGTTAAAATAGGAATTTTTGATAAATGATAAATGTAGTTATTTGCGATTTGTTCACCACGTTACTGGCGTCATGCTATTTCCTAGGTGACAAAGAAAAAAAACAATATAAATATTTGTACTAAATGTTCTCTTCCTGAATGCATTATGTCCCAAGAGGCCATGTATCTCCGAACATACATTCAGAAAAGCTACAGATTCAGCAGGATTTAGATTGCATCTCCATTGAGTGGCACAGAAGCCTTGGCCGGCTTTGCATACATACCTCATGGCAATAAATCACATCTGACTTCATCCCATGCGTGGTTCCTCCAGTAAATTAACCTTAAAGCCTTTTATTGGCTCGTTCAGTGCGGATGAGAAAGGGGCTTCCACTTTTACCTAATTACTCTTGGCTTGGTTCTTCTAACTTATTATCACTATTGATTGTTGCTAGAACGCAGATCTCTATATAATAATCAATCATTATTTAAATGGTGTGTGTTAAAATATAAATCTGCATGTTTGTGGTTTTTCTTTTGCTTGGCTTTGTGATTCAGCGCACTTACTGTTTCCTAGGATGGCACGGTAACTATTCAGGGCATCATTTGCTGCACGCGCTCAGTTCCGAAAAACACAACAAACTTTACATTAAAGGAACACTAAGTACTATAACCATTTCATCTCAATGAATTGTTTAAAGTGGCTGGCGTCCTCTGGCGCAGTCCCTCCCACATAGCAATGGCTGCAAGGTAGAAGATAACAACTGTCCAGTCCAAATAAGTTGCAAGTAATGCTCAGTCCGTGTAGCCACTATAGTGCCCCAGGAAACATCCCAGTTGGTATATTAAAAGGGAGTTAAATCCCATCATATTTATAAAATGGAGATTAGGGCGTCAGAGTTGTTATATAGCTTCTACAAATACCCTTTAAAGAGTATATGTTTCTTGCGGGCTAAACGGTAGGGATCATATTTCATCCCCCAAGATACCCAAGTAGCAGGCTAAGGTTGTCGAGTCATGCGACAATATAACACACTTCAGCCACATGGACATCACCAAAGCCACCAGTTGGCGGCTTGGCTCACAACCAGGATCATGTGTATGTAAACAATCTATGAATTCAGTTGTTGATCCAAGAGTGTGTGAAGCCACACTTAGCACAGAGAAACAGGGAGACTAGACAGAGGTAAAAACGAATCGAAACTAAACTAAATGTGACTTTAGTAATGAATTTTACCCATCTGCTTTGTAGTAACATACTGCAGATATATTTCTGGCTACCCTAGAAATGGCTAGCTTTGTGAATTAAAACAATCCAATGATCGAGCCTGCCCCAGTTCTCTCAGCCTATCACTGCTATCTTAGTAATGCTGGATTCTGCTTTATCAAATTGGCTGAAGTGAGGGCAGTTTCTGGGTGCCGAGAAGAACTCCATTGTTTTGTCAAAGCTTAATGAAAAACATGGTACGTCACTCATAGCTTAGAGTTGCCTGTTGAATAGGAATAGTAACCTTTTACAGAAAAAAAGGTTTTTCCCTCTCCATGTTTTCGTCTATTTCTACATATTTAACAGACTGATCAGAGTCATATTGTCATAAAAAATGTACCAGAAGACAAACAGAAGCAGTTTTTAAATTGTATTTATTTAAGGAAAAGAGTTAACCAACATTAACTGGAAAAAGTAATTGTCCTTTGATTAGTCATCACACTAACAAGATTTAATTGAATAATTTTATTAACTTAGAGCAGGCACACACAGCCTTAATTACTGCCAGCCCTGATTCATCTAAACATGCAGGTCTCAGCAAACAGAACGTTATGTTGCAGTAAAAAAAAAAAAAGATGAGATGAGATAAGAATCAAATTGTTGATAGCCTGAAAAGAGTTATAAAGGCTAGGTTTGGTATTCCCGTGAAATTCAGAGATAGCCATGATCTCCGATGTGAAATTGCTTAAATCAATAGAGAATTATCTGAGGTGTGGCCAACCAATCAAAATTCCTCCAAGAACATTGCGTTTACTCATCTAAGAAATCGCAAAAACACCCAGGTCTATATGTAAGGCGCTGCAGGCGTCTCCAGCCTCAGGTGTGGTCTGAGTTCATGATTCAACAATAAGAATTAGACTGAACATAATGCAATTCATGAGTAAATTGGTGCAAACTACTGATAATTAAGAAAAATATTAGTGCTCATCTTGAATTTCCAAAAAAAGCACATAACCCCCAGGCCTGTTGGGATAATAATTTGTGGACAAATGAGCCAAAAGCGGGTCTAGTCAGAAGACCCACCTTCATGTATGTTTGGTAAAAAGCAAACACAGCATTTCACAATATGAACAGAATACAAAGTATCAAAGATGGTGATGATAGTGTGATGGTTAAGAGATGCTTTCCTGCCTCTGGGGTTGGAGGAGCATAATTGAAGGAACCATGAATTCTGTTCCCTAGCATAAAATGCTGAGGAAAAATGTCCACCGTCGGTACATAATCTGAAACTAAAGTGTAATTGGATTTTGTAGCAGCACATTGATGCAAAACACAAAAGTAAATCCACCTTAGAATGTTAGCGAAGAACCAAAAATCAAGTTTTGGATGTGGCCTAGTCAATATCTTGACTTAAACTCCACTGAGATGCTGCAGAAGGACTTTAAACCAGCTGTCCGTGCTCAGGTTTCCCATGGTCACTGAATTCCAGCTAGTTTGCTTGAAGAATGGTTCAATGGTCCTTGATGTGATGTGAAAGACTGATCTCCAATTACAGGAAGCAATTAGTGTCAATCGTTGCTGCTAAAGGTGACGCAATCAGTTATTACAGTAAAAAAAAAGCAAAATTACTTTTTCACTCAGCCAGTTGGTTTTGGCTAATTGTTTTCCTTAAATGAATAACATGATCATCTAAAAAAATAAATACATTGATTGGGAGCCTGGCAACCTCTTTATCGAGACACTGTAGATTTAGCTTGTTGATAATTTCCCAATAATAAAAAGGAAATAATTTTTATTTATGTGATCCATATAGGCATACCTAAATAGGCAGGTACGAGCAATATTAAGAAGCAAATAATAAGGTAAACACTGGAATAAATGTACAAGTCTCCTGGAGTGCATTATTGACCAAGCCGCTGCATTTTATGGGGTCCTGTGAGACCCGGCAACCTCATTTTTACTTTTGTAGCCTGTTATAAATAGCTAAAGATCTGTGCTAATGTTCCTCATCTCTTTAGGCCACCATGTTACAGACAGATGGAACTAGGATATGATATTATATTCCAGTACCCACAGTCTATAATATAAAGGAGAAGGAAGGTCTGGGGCCTTTGGAGAGCACAAATCCCCTCCTATCAGATTCTCCCTTTCCATCCCAGAAAAGTATGAAATGGGGCATTGAGAAGGTGGTTAGACTAAGGAACTGTTGTTAAAAGGATTTAGAAAATACTTATTTAGAATTTCTAACACAGGGTCCTGTTTACTTTTGTATTTCTAATTTCTGCATTTGTATCCAACCCTGCACATCCTAGGTGGATGTGAGCAAGGTACTTATAACAGAGGTTCTCCAGACCACCAGCAATAGACAACCCGCCATTCCGGTGTACGAAGACCCCTTTGAACGTTCTCTGAAGTACATGGAGAAGCACAACATCCTGCAGCTATTTCAGGTGGGGACAATATACACTATGTCATGGTATAAGCAGCACAAACCACCATTTCCTATAGGACAGTTTCCAACGTGGAACAATACGTCTTTCTCCTCCATTAAATCAGTTTAGCCAAAACATGGTATAGACTTCAAAATACGAAAACTCCAGTAATTCTATGAAGCTAGTTTTATCAACTACAAAATGAGGTTACATCAAGTAATCTAGAATTCCTCATTCTGAGTGGGCGTCTGTGTATATATATTAAAGGGAACTGTCATTTCCTATGTTTTTAAATATTATGTTTACTTATCCCTATTTTTAATTGATGTATATTTTTAAGGTGTGAATAATAAAATTAAATGTAGAAATTCACACCTCTTTACCCAAAAACAAGACGCCTCCATCTTAGCTCCCTGTCAGTCATTTATATAATCTCTGTCCTTTGCACCTGACAGTCGGGGTATAGAAATCAGGGAAGAATGTTTCTATTTCTCCTCTCCATTTGTAATGTTTACCATGGCTCTGCTTTGTCTGAAATCGATTATTTAAAATAAATGTAAAAGAAAATTGAGGCTCTCATGAAAAAGGGTAAACACAAGTTTTTAGTGATTTTCATTGTTTAAATATCATAGACGTGACATTTCCCGTTTAGCTCTTTTAACAACTAGTAATCTTCCTTGCTGTCATCACGGTAACAGTCTGGTTATTAATTAGCATAAATCAATGTAGTATAGCCCTGATGTCATTATTTAAGTGCAATATTCCATTTTGAAATAGATGCATTAAAGAACAGAACAGAACAGATTACTATGATAAGGTTGACAGTCAGCGTTCGTTAAGGGGTTAATACTGTGGCATTTTCATCGTTTCTATTGCATCCGAAACCACAGCAGACAATGCTGATCCCAAGAAACGTTACAGAGATTTTACCGTTTTGTGTCAGACTAGCATTTAGGCGAATGCCCTTTAATTTATCCCGGGAAAGGTCAATTTCGTGTAAATTACACATTTTAAACCATTAGTAGATTTGGAATGCCAGCTGTCCAATAAAGAAATATGGAAGATAACTATAAGAGAGCCAAAAACTGAGATCAACAAGTCTTTTATGAAAACAAACAAACAAAAAAACATAAAAACAACAACCAACTATATAGGAAACCACTATATTTATTAAAAACAAGCAAGTATGATTAAATAAACTATATGATAAGCTCAGGATGTTCACATATATTTATTTATTTATAAAATATTTTACCAGGATGGATACATTGAGATTTCTCTTGTTTTCCAGTATGTCCTGGGTCCACAAAACATTGCATTGATACAATAGGATACAATATTACAAAAATACAATATACAAACTATATATATACACACATATACATTTAATACATAACCAGTAATAAATATATTAAACCATGAAACGTGCATTCTGTGCTAAGGTCTATTGCCATAGATCTCTTAAAGATTTGACTGTGTCCCTATATATGTGTAATATATTACCAAACAGCTAATATACTGTGGAATAAAAGAAAATTGCTAATATAACAACTGTAGCATTCAAGCGTTTATGGAAATTTTTGTGATGTATTTAAGGTTTATATGAGCCTCCCTGCTACAGCCACTACCTGAACGTGATGTTCCATGGACACGTACCTCTACAAATTGAATTATGGAGTTAACTGAATCAGGGGGAACGTGTATTATTCCAGTAGGCTGTGATCTTTTCAGCAAGTGATCCTGTTACTTTCCTTGCTGAATTCCTCTCTCCAAAAGAGTTAGTAATAATCTCTTTGTCTTCGTTCCCTTCCACAATGAATGATGTCTGATCCTGGAACCTAATTTCCGCCTACACTATAGAGAGCTTTGTGTCTAACTTGGTCATTTATTAAAGGGCGAATTGTTGGGACTTCAATCTGAATTTCAAATGTAAGGCCAAAGTAACTGAACTGGAAGCATAGCTGATTTGAAGAACTTTTCCAGCTCAGCTACTTTGACCTTAATTGACCACTATACTCAACAGGACCACTTCATTGAGTGTGGATGCAGTGGCTCTGTCGGTTTGGTCCTGCAATGTCAAAAAGTTGCTGTTTTGGAGATATGGCAATGTTTGCATTGCAAGGCTAGACACACCTCTGATGGCTGTATTCCTGACAGCCACTGGATAGTGCTTTTACTACTACAGCTGAATGAGACTCCGTTCTGTGGAGGTCACCTTCCTCATGCATTCCATGAAGACATTGAACGTCCTCTGATGCTTCTCATATAGAAGCTTTGGATTCAACGCACTTGTCGTGGATGTGCTTCTTCTCCCCAGAGAAGTCCAAGAGGAGTCAGCCTGCAAGAAGGCGACACAGCATGTCTGTATTCCTAATGCTAAAGAGTTTCTTTAAGTTTGAATTCACTCTGAATTTCCGACAGTCCTCACTTTAGAAAATAGTCATGTAATTAACGGACCACCAGTTGTCAGCCAATCATCCTCAGTCTATTGCATAACAAAGAGGATAAATCAGTCTAAAACAATTCCTCCATTTTTTATTTCCAGCAAAGAACAGAATAACTTGGTGTGCTTTTCCCCTGTCGATACATACAGCAGTTCTTTTTAGCGTTCTCTCCATATCGGTTCATTTCAAACAATTTTTTGGTTAACATTCTCGAGTTCTGTCACTTCATACCATCCCATCCATCAATGTCATGCTGTATTTTGAATAACGATAGTGTATACAGAAGGGCGTGATATCACATGCTGCTCCTTTAAGTAGCAAGGCCTTTCCCTACAAAACGTCTTCCTGTCACTGTCCTGGGCCCTTTCTAACTATCTCCTGTTACTGAACCTGTTTCTGTCACTGATCTTGTCTTTATTACTGTCAGCTTGTCTTTATAACTGTTTCTGACTTTGCTGTGGTCAGTATTCTATCTGTGTTAGGGCAGACTTGATGATATACTGTATAAAGACACCAAACAGTCAATATGCTATAAGATAATAAAATCAATATACTGTATAAAAACACCAAACAGTCAATATACTATAAGATAATTGTTAAGACACCTCTAGTGTCTTTAAGCCAAACCGCCGTTTAGTAGACCTTCCCCGGCTGCAGTACAGTCCCCGTTCGCTTACTCTGTAACACACAAACCAAATGCAGGGGAAGCGGCAATCTCCCGATCGAGATCCGTGAACGGCTCCAAACTCCCGAACGGCAATACACGAACTGCTGGTAACCGTTGAACAGCAATATTCCCCAAGCGGCTTTCGTTCCATCCAGCAGTCTCTAAACGTGAAGAAGAAATCCCCCCCAATAACGAGACAGAAGCTCCGCATTGAGGGTCAAACAGAATCTGGCTTTACTGTGGGCTACCTGCCCGTATTTATGCAGGTCTCCCACCTGGTGGACACTCCCCTAGGGGACCAAATGGGAGACTTAAATTACAGACAGATATGGGGATCTTCCAGACACACAGTCACAGATTTTACCCACAGTGCATTCCCTCCCCTCTGCCCTGGAGTTAATTACCAAGTAACTCAATTAACTCCAGGACAAAGCCAGTCGCCATCTTAGACATAAAATAATAAAAGACATAAAAATATATAACTACATAAAAACTGAACATTTCCCATTCGTATTACATGTCCCCAGATAGCCTGGATCTGAGTGCATATTATTAGCGAATAGCGCTCAGATCCCACACACATAGTTCAATCGCCATGGAGTCAAAGTTCTTACAGTCTTTCGGTATACGAATGACTCCATGGGAAGGCTATCTGGGTTAAGTCTTTTCGTATGCTCTCAATCTCCCGAACGGCCGGTGTTCGCATGCTTTCGTGGAGGCAGCCAGGCGTTCCGTTGTTTCAGCGGTGTTCGGCAGAAAAAGTGTCCGTTTTCAGTTCCATAGAAATAGAGCCAAACACTGCTGGGCGTTCGCGTGATTTAAAATGGCCGCTGCCTCGTGGTCGACATACGAACGACGACCACCCTGAATTCGGTTTAATTGAGAAGTGTCTGCGGTTAACCACAACGTTCTAATTGGGATCACTTCGTTAACCAGCAGCACACTCCTCACTTGGGTGGCCGTTCGTTCGGCAGGTTTGTTCGGGAAAAAGAGTCATTCGAATGGCTGGGCTATAGAAACCAGCCATTCATACGAACGGGGGACAAACAGACGAATGCAGTAAAAATCCAAGCAGACAGATGGTTCTGTCACAATAATAATATCAATATCCTGTATACAGACAACAAACAGTCAATATACTATAAGATAATATCAATATACTGTAAAAAGACACCAAACAGTCAATATACTATAAGATAATATCAATATACCGTATAAAGACACCAAACAGTCAATATACTATAAGATAATAATATAAATATCCTGTATACAGACAACAAACAGTCAATATACTATAAGATAATATCAATATACTGTATAAAGACACCAAACAGTCAATATACTATAAGATAATATCAATATACTGTATAAAGACACCAAACAGTCAATATACTATAAGATAATAATATCAATATCCTGTATACAGACAACAAACAGTCAATATACTATAAGATAATATCAATATACTGTATAAAGACACCAAACAGTCAATATACTATAAGATAATAATATCAATATACTGTATACAGACAACAAACAGTCAATATACTATAAGATAATATCAATATACTGTATACAGACACCAGTCAATATACTATAAGATAATAATATCAATATCCTGTATAAAGACACCAGTCAATATACTATAAGATAATATCAATATACTGTATAAAGACACCAAACAGTCAATATACTATAAGATAATATCAATATACTGTATACAGACACCAGTCAATATACTATAAGATAATAATATCAATATCCTGTATAAAGACACCAGTCAATATACTATAAGATAATATCAATATACTGTATAAAGACACCAGTCAATATACTATAAGATAATAATATCAATATACTGTATAAAGACACCAAACAGTCAATATACTATAAGATAATATCAATATACCGTATAAAGACACCAAACAGTCAATATACTATAAGATAATATCAATATACTGTATAAAGACACCAAACAGTCAATATGCTATAAGATAATATCAATATACTGTATAAAGACACCAAACAGTCAATATGCTATAAGATAATATCAATATACTGTATACAGACACCAAACAGTCAATATACTATACTCCCCTGTTGTGAGAGGGAGGCTGTAAAGCAGAGCAGGCACAGCTCTTAGAAGAGCTAGTGATTATAATACTCCAAAGAGCTATCCCAAGAGCAGGGATTATCGCTAGCATCGCTTTTCCCTACAAGCACGAGTGTGCCACCCAGGTGGACCTTGTTGGGCACAGGGATGTAAGATTAACATGCCAATAAGAACAGAGTTTTACATTCAGACACTTCCATACAGTGTACACAATCCCTCCCCTCTGCTTGGGAGATAATTGAATTACTGTATTAACTCAATTATCTCCAAACAAAAAATACACGTTTTTACCCATTTCTGGAAATACCACAAAAACACATAAGAGAATCCCCTAAAACATACATTCCCTGATAGATCCGATCTGGGGGAACAACATACTTAAAAATCACCCAGATCGGTTCAGGGGTTCAAAAGTTAGCTGGAGGTCACATTTCTGCCTGGCTGCCCACGAGGCTACTGCCCAGAATAGTTACATTAATTCAGCTGGGTCGGCCAGGTCTATTTCGAGAATATGAAAATACATCAAAATAACGATATAACTGTTTGTGTCTATGATTCCCCAGTGTCTCTTGTTCGTATGCTTCAATGTACCGAACGCCGCTGCTTTCATATAAAGGACAGACGAATTACTGGAAGTCCCAGCGGTGTTCGTGTGGTCGAGTGCCTGAAAACAATTCCATACACTCGATGACAAAACACTGTTGGCCGGTCGACAGTTTAAGATGGCCGCAGCAGCGTGTTCGTGCATACGAACAACGACCACCCAGCCGACCGCTCAGAATGTTGAGGTGTTTGCGGTTTCCCAAAGTGTTAGAAAGGTTAAAAAGGTCAATAGGCAGCAAACTACTGGGTGGTCGGTCGTTCGGTAATTAGTTCGGTTTTTCAAACAAGATCAGAATGTACATTGGAGAAGTTAAAACTACCGAACAAACCAACAAACTCATAATTAGAAATATAAAATCCAGGGACAGCGAGGTCTGTCACAATAATAATATCAATATACTGTATAAAGACAACAAACAGTCAATATACTGTAAGAAAATAATATCCATATATTGTATAAAGACACCAAACAGTCAATATGCTATAAGATAAGAATATCGATATACTGTATAAAGACAAAAAACAGTCAATATGCTGAAGAGTAAACATTTAGCGACAAACAACATTAAACTGATAATTTACCAGGGTCGTAGCTGTTATCAGTGTGAGTAGGGGTGTGGCCAGGGACAGAGCTCTTATTAGTGTGAGTGGGGGTGTGGCCAGGGACAGGGCTGCTATTAGTGTGGGTGTGGTCAGGGACGGGGCTGTTATTATTGTGAGTGGGGGGGGGGCTGTTCTGAAAATTTTAGGTGACTTACTTAGAATTAATACAACTAAAATGTAATTTATAACAAGAACACTTTCCACAGACTGATTTTTAAAACACAGTTATTGTAGTTTAAAGACACATTACTGGGAGTATTATTGCTGTGGAGCTCTGTTATACACTCAGACCCATTACTGGGAGTATTATGACTGTGGAGCTCTGTTATACACTCAGACACATAACTGGGAGTATTATTACTGTGGAGCTCTGTTATACACTCAGACACATTACTGGGAGTATTATTGCGGTGGAGCTTTGTTACACACTCGGACATACCAACAATATGGAGCTTCAAAAAAAAAGATGGATTTGGGACATAAATAGGGGCTGTCCCTCATATAGGACACTTGGGAGGTAGGGGGTGACTGACTCTTCTTTCAGGGATGTGATAATGCCTTCCTCAGGGCTGATGGACTCCTTGAAGAGTCACAATGACCAACTTTGCTCATTGAATATCACAGACTAGGGATCACAGAGATACTGCCTATAAGCAGAGATTTTTTACAATTGCCAGCATTCACTCACAGTGCAATAACACAAATAATCCAATCAAGATTGTTCTTTGTCTACAATTCCAAATTTAGTGACTAAATCTTTTACGCATTCACGATAGACATGATTGCGCTATGTTGAATTAAAAATGTATTTTGTCAATTTTACCAGGTGTTTATGGTGCAATGCTGCCCCTTAGTGGTAGCTCTGCAACATTACAGGGATAACTATTATTTATCCAGAATATTGCTAAGGATTTAACTGTTCAGCAGGTGTCAGGGGTCCATCTAAACCCCAATGCCATAAAAATATATTTTACCAGTGCTTTATAAAGCAAATCTACTTGTAGTCAATGTTATTATTAAATAAATGACATTGCTGGTATTTCCTATGGCTTTCAATGCTTTGCGTCACTGTTTTGATTAATAATTGGACAAATTGCAATGCTTTGCGTTTATCAAATTATTTTCTTGGCATATGTTTTTCAGGAGATAACTGAAGATTTGGTCTTCGAGAAACCAGAAGATCCTTTGGAATTTATGTTGGAAAAGGTAATGTTCATGACATGGGGCTGTGAAATTGCCGTCACTAATGGCACACAGTTTATATTTTCTATGTGCAAGCCGTCTTGTAGGGTGACCCATTATGGGGTAGATTGTCTTGGTGGTAATGTTTGGCGTAACTGTTCTAATAGCCAGTTATTAAAGTGGGTTGTTTGCTTTTGTAAGAATGGAGTTATTAGAGGGTTTATTCGCTAAGCAGTGAATTTTAGTGAATTAAAAGCAAGTAGCAAGATTAAGGCTAAACTAGCCAAACTGTGACTATAACCAAATTGGATTTTTTTTTTTTTTTTTTTTTATAAATGAAATATTTCAGGTTTAATTTAGTGATTTTGTTTTTTAGATCACCACAAGCACCATAGATATTTTAATAAAATTACAATTATTTATATAGCGGCATCATAGTCTGCTGCGCTGTAGAATAGGTTAAGCAGACAAGCATTTAATTCTAACAATGCATGTATCACATACAGGAACAGTAGCTGATCTGACAGTGTGTAGGGATGAGGGACAATTACAGAGAAGGAAGTGAGGGAATCAAATGATCTGTATGATGGGAGGGGTGTTCCGAAGGAGGGATAAAGCAACCCTTGTGCAATCTCCTACCCCCAAACAAAGACAGAAAAACTCTTCTTGATTCAGCGCTAAGGCCAAATTCTTCCGGTCCTCATCCGGTAACGCCACTCGCCCTTACTGGAAATGGAGAGAGGTCAGGGAGGATAAGCTGAGGGTAGGACTTGGGCAACGTGAAGGAGAAGCATGCAGCTGTACGGTCTCCAAGCACCACAACCACTACAAAATGCTGACGTGGTGATGGTGCTTGGAGTAATCCTTTTTTTAAATCAATATAGAAAAGGGAGATTATAATAATAGTTTTGTTAAAAAAGTCCCAACTCTTCATGAAATTATAAAATAAATAGTACAATGTCATGTGCAAAGTATGTGCAATTATACAAACTGACTCCACAAGAAAAGCATTAAGAGATAAATAAGTAAATAAAACACCAAACACCTAATGCCTTGTGTGGGTCCCTGTAACCACACAAATCAGGAGAATGTTTTATAAAAGAGCATGGAAGACAAAGGATCCATTCTGTTAGCCCATCTGCTCCTTATCCACCATGGTGGACTCCCTATACACCCACAGCCAGCGTCATGGTAGTATAATGGAAATAATCCTACAGATTATTACACTCCTGATTCCATTTCCTGGTGTTTGAGTATCAAAATGTGCAGGTTCCCAGTACCCCTTAGGGACTAAGAGGGGATCCAGAGATTTCTCCATACCCTCTTCCACTGTGCAGTTATTGAGATGTTACATGTTCAATTAGCTGGGCTGTTCTGGACCACTTAATATCCCTGAAGGAACCTTGGATGTTATTCCATTCTAATACAAGGATGCCTATTTTACTTGGCAGTAGATGAAGATACACAGAAATACATGGAGTACAGTAGAATGGAGAAACAAAACCAGAGGACATACAGGTGATACTTGAAAAATTAGAATATCGTGCAAAAGTTCATTTATTTCAGTAATGCAACGTAAAAGGTGAAACTAATATATGAGATTGACGCATTACATGCAAAGCAAGATAGTTCAAGCCGTGATTTGTCATAAGTGCATTCATGGCTTACAGCTCATGAAAACCCCAAATCCACAATCTCAGTAAATTAGAATATTACATGCAATCAATAAAACAAGGAGTGTACATAGAACAATATTGGACCTCTGAAAAGTGTAAGCATGCATATGGACTCAGTACTTGGTTTGGGCCCCTTTTGCAGCAATTACTTCCTCAATGCGGCGTGGCATGGAAGCTATCAGCATGTGGCACTGCTGAGGTGTTATGGAAGACCAGGATGCTACAATAGCTGCCTTCAGCTCTTCTGCATTGTTCAGTCTCATGTCTCTCATCTTTCTCTTTGCAATGTCCCATAGATTCTCTATGGGGTTCAGGTCAGGTGAGTTTGCTGGCCAATCAAGCACAGTAATCCCACAGTCATTGAACCAGGCTTTGGTGCTTTTGGCAGTGTGGGCAGGTGCCAAGTTCTGCTGGAAAATGAAGTCAGCATCCCCATAAAGCTCGTCTGCGGAAGGAAGCATGAAGTGCTCCAAAATCTCCTGGTAGACGGCTGTGTTGACCCTGGACTTAATGAAGCACAGTGGACCAACACCAGCAGGTGACATGGCTCCCCAAATCAACACAGAGTGTGACTCTCCATTCTTCCTCCAGACTCTGGGTCCTTGGTTTGCAAAAGTTGCTCTTATCAGAAAAGAGGACTTTGGACCACTGAGCAACAGACCAGGTCTGTTTTTCTTTAGCCCAGGTAAGACGCTTCTGACGTTGTTTGTTTTTCAGGAGCGGCTTGACAAGAGGAATGCGACATCTGAAGCTCATGTCCAGGATCCGTCTGTGTGTGGTGGCTCTTGATGCACTGACTCCAGCCTCAGTCCACTACTTGTGAAAGTCCCCAACATATTTGAATGGCCTTTTCCTGACAATCCTCTCCAGGCTGCGGTCATCCCTGCTGCTTGTGCACCTTTTTCTTCCACACTTTTCCCTTCCACATAACTTTCTATTAATGTGCTCTCATACAGCAGTTTGGGAACATCCAACTTCCTTCGTAATTACCTTTTGAGGCTTTCCCTCCTTATGGAAGGTGTCAATGATGGTTTCCTGCACAACTGTCAGGTCAGCAGTCTTCCCCATAATTGTGATTCCTACTGAACCAGACTGAGAGACCATTTAAAGGCTCAGAAACCCTTTGCAGGTGTTATGGCTTACTTAGCTGATTAGAGTGCGACACTGTGAGCCTAGAATATTGCACCTTTTCACAATATTCTAATTTACTGAGATTGTGGATTTGGGGTTTTCATGAGCTGAAAGCCATAATCATCGCACTTATGACAAATCACGGCTTGAACTATCTTGCTTTGCATGTATTGTGTCTATCTCATATATTAGTTTCCCCTTTTACGTTGCATTACTGAAATAAATGAACTTTTGCGCGATATTCTAATTTTTCGAGTATCACCTGTACATTTTGCTCAGTTAGCTGAACATTGAGTCAATGCATCTCTATGAGGATATGCTGATTGGCACAATGATTGCCATACATTAACCCCCCAGTGCTAGTCCCCCAGCGTGGTAGTGTGTGCCCATTGCTCTTTGGGTTCAGCCAGGACCATCTCTTTCATAGGTTTGCATAAGGAATGTGTTTATGGGCCGTGGGGAGCAACTTCATGGGAATTTCCCAAAAGCATCTGATTTAAGATATTACTTTGATATTTCCTGATACAAGGATACAATCTTCTTTGTACCATAACTGGTAGTAGTTATGTGCTTAGATTGCCTTCTTAACTTCTGTTCCCCTATACATATTATAACTAAAGTCTCTGATCCCCACATGTAAAGTCCTCGCTCTCACCTCTCCATCCTCTCGCTTAAAGAAATATCTGATACTCAGAGTCAGAACTCGTTAATGCAATGTTTAGCTGTTATTATGTCTTCGAAACTGAGCCATGACATTTGTGACTTGCTATTGTATTCCAATGATAATATTCTGTTAAAATCCTGGTCATCATCCACATTAAAGAAGTTTCCTCTACGTTAGACTAATACTTGGATGTTTGCCACTGTTAGGAAATGGCAGGCAGCCATATTGTTCTTTTGCGAGCTCGCTAAGTAGCTGTTTTTTTCTCTTGTAATATGTATTACCAACAGTAGTTTTAATCTAGTTGTGTTTCCTGCAGATTACTTGTAATGTCCTCCTGGCAAAATATTGTGGTTGTTTTGCAGTAAAACCAATAAAATGCTTATTAAGGCTGTTTTATTTATTTATTTATATTCCCACTGCTAGTATTGATGTTTGCATGAGCGCTCCCAGGTAATAAGATTCGAGAAGCGGCAGCACAGGTCTCATTAAAGCTGACAAAAAAGCCTTTCTAATACACAAAGTCTAAAGATTAACTGAAGAATCGCTGCAACATCCGCCAAGGGGAGGATTTGTGTTAAAGCGAAGAGCGTCTTGCGTTCGAAACTATTTGTACCGTGCCGGCCCTTCTCAGCAATATCGAATTTTATATCATATAGTCCATATGCTTAGCAATAAAAAGATACGAGAATGTTTTGATTACATCAGAGAAAGTCTGCCATTTACACTCGGAGGAGATTTTTTATAAGGAAACAGCCATATTTATTCATTTATTTCTCTTGTCCCTGCTCCTTTGCTCTAACTATATGATGTCATGACTATATATATATATATACATACACTGTTTATTGGCTGCTTTAATGAGTAAAATTCATTTAGGAAAAGGAAGCCAAGAGTTTGAAATGTTGCTGTTATATTGGCGTATTTGGTTACGCATATCCTATTCCGAGACAAGGACATATGTGCCCTAGAGAGTCATTTGTGTGAGGATTAGAGGGTATGTTTATTAGATGTTTGGTGTATAGATATATTTCATATCCATAATAAGGAAAATTGCTGAGAGAAATTCATAGAACATCTCTCTCTGGATTGGTGTTAAATAAAACTTTGGAGTGATTTTCAAATGGATGTCAAACCAATGAATATATTATTGTAGACTTTTTACCATATGCAATATCCATGCTTAGAGATGATGTGCCCTCTAGCACAAGGCATAAAGAAAATCGAGCAGGTCCATCACTCAATAACTCAGCATTGTTCCTTGATTTCTTTGTACATTACGTAGTTCTCGAAAGCATTATTTTGACTCAGACATTTAGAGGAGTCATTTAGATTCCAGGGCCCGCATTTGTAACAAATAAAATCTATTAAAGGGACACTGTAGGCACTCAGGCCACCTTAACTCAATGGGTGCAGTTTCCCTGTCCCCTTATGTAAACCATTGCAGTTTTAGATAAATGGCAATGTTTACATTGCAGGGTTAAGACAGCCTCTAGTGATTGTCTAACAGATAGCTACTAGAGACGATTCCTGCAGTATCACAAACTTAAACGTTTTGCATGAGGAGGTCCAGGATCTTAAAAAATCCTTTCCTATGGGGTAGACCTAATGCACTTGCCGCACATATGCATTAAGTTCCCGGATCGTGCTGTTGGAGGTGAAGCCTAAACCAGCACTGAGGGACCTTGGCGCTGGAATCAGGTAAGTGAATAAAATAGTTTTTAAACCCTGCATGGCTGTGTGTAAGACCAGGAAGGGCCACGAATGCAGAGCAACACTTTAGTGTTATTAATACAGATTTGTATTTCTAACATTGTAGTGTACCTTTAAATAGACACTTTAGGCACCAAAACAACTTTAGCTTACTGAAGCAGTTTTTGTGTATAGATAATGCCCCTGCAGTCTAACTGCTCAATTCTCTTCCATTTAGGAAATCACTTTTGTTTCTGTTTATGCAGCCGTAGTCACACATCCCCTTGCTGTGACTCACACAGCCTTAATGAAAAAAATTGTTTCATTTTCAATCAGATGTTAGCTTGGTTTAGAAGTTTACATCTCCTGCTCTCTAAATTTAACTTTAATTATAATCAGGGGCCGTCTGCATGGTCAAGAAGGGTATTAACAAAGCAGGAGGTAAAAAATTCTAAATTAAACAGACTGTGCTATAAAGTTTAAACATTATATCTCTCTTTACAGGAAATGTTTAGGAAGGCTGTGTAAGCCACATGCAGGGAGGTGTAACTAGGGCTGCATAAACAAAGTGATTTAACTCCTAAATTGCAGAGTATTGAACAGCGAGAGTGCAGGAACATTATCTATACACCAAAACTGTTTCATTATGCTAAAATAGTTTTGGTTCCTAGAATGTCCCTTTAAATAAACTGATTACTTACCTGTAATCCAACAAAGAGACAGCCTCTTTTCTGCAGCCTGATCTTCCTCTGGTGAGGTATTAAAGCTTGATACTGATATTGTCCAATACAATGTTTCTCACTGTGAAGCATTCGGCTTTATTGCACATGCTCAGCTATCACCTCAATGTGCAGATCATAGAGAAACATTGAATCCAATACTTCTCTATGACAAGCATTAAATGACCGTTCAACGTCCTCATGCCATGCATGATGGCATTGAATGTCAGGAACTAAGTCAGACTTGGTAGTCACTGCAGCAGCACCATCTAGTGGCTGTCAGTGTAACAGCCACAAGAGATGTGTTTAGTCCTGCAATGTTAACATTGCCATGTCTCTGGAATGAAGATGTTTTGTATTGCAGGAACAGAATGCCAGGGACTCTGCAGCCAGACAACTTAAATGAGATAAAGTGTTCTGGGTTCTAATAGTGATCCTTTTAAGGAACATTCTAACACTAGGAATACAAGCATTTATTCCTAATCTTAGACGGTTTTGCTATTTAGATTTATGCTCCCCCCTCCCCCCACCACCACTAGAAACAAAACAATAAATAGTATTACTTAACCGTAGTCCACCAGTGCGCTGGTCTTGTTGGTCTGCTGGGGGGGCTGGCAATCACCGTAAACATCAGAGGTGGCCACTAGAGGTAGCTTTAGGAATCAGTGTAAACACTGCCTTTTCTGAAGTGGTGATGGTGCTTAAAAAGATTCTCCAGTGCCAGGAAAACATATTCCCACCCCTTCAGTGACTTACCGGAGTCCAGCGCCGATTTCCTTTGGTGCTGGGTCAGGCTCCACCTACTCTCCTCCACCGCCGATATCAACCGGCGGGGGAGACCTAATGTGTATGCGTGACAATGGCCGCACAAGCGTATTAGACCTCCCCAGAGAAAAACATTATACAATGCTTTCCTATAGGGAATTCGGCGACACTGGAGGTCCTCACATAGCGTGAGAACGTCCAGCGTCGCTTAAAACACTTTTTTCATGTTCTATGAACACTGAAGTCCCTCTAGTGGCTGTCTGGTAGACAGCCACTAGAGGAGGAGTTAACCCTGCAAGGTAATTATTGCGGTTTATGAAAACTGCAATAATTACACTTGCAGGGTTAAGGGAAGTGGGAGTTGGCACCGAGACCACTCCAATGGGCAGAAGTGGTCTGGGTGCCTGGAGTGTCCCTTTAAAGTGTCACTTTTAGGACAAGAGCAGTTTTAACCCCTTAAGGACCAAACTTCTGGAATAAAAGGGAATCATGACATGTCACACATGTCATGTGTCCATAAAGGGTTAATAAACTCCATCTTTCTCATTTAGTGCACAATGAGGATTCTTTGCTTCTTTTTAATGGGTGTTTAGTGCTTCCTTTTCATATGTCATAAAAAATATATAACTCCTTATCTAGCATGGCAATACATAGGGCAACACTATAATACATGTTTTATGTGTTTGTTCACTATAGGCTTTGACTTAATAGTGCTGGAAACGCTTTTCAAATGACTTAACATCTTTGGATACGCTTTTAAAATTATTTTTTTTCAAAATATTAAAATATCAAAAAATACATTGTATATAGAAAAGTATCAATATATGAAAACAATTTAAAAATATTAAAATGTTTTCAATTTCTAAAAACATTTTAATTGTTTATCTAAATATATTAAATCAGAACCATAATTTGAAGACAATTATTGAAGTTACCGAAAAGTTTATTAAAATAGATTAATTGTGCTCGGGGGGATAAATAACCTATTCCTGGGGTTTTTATATATTTTGCACAGTTATAGGTTGTTTAGTAAAAGGGGGTCCCGTTGTTTTGAAATAATATTTGCTAACTCTTTCTTAAAGGGACACTATAGTCACCAAAACAACTTTAGCTTAATGAAGCCGTTTTGCGTCTAGATCGTGCCCATGCCGTCTCACTGCTCAATTCTCTGCCATTTAGGAGTTAAATCACTTTTGTTTATGAACCCTAGTCACAGCTTCCTATATGTGACTTGCACAGCCTTCCTAAACACTTCCTGTAAAGAGTAATCTAAAGTTTATCCTTCCTTTATTGCAAGTTCCGTTAATTTAGATTTTCCCATCCCCTGCTATGTTAATAGCTTGCTAGACCCTGCAAGAGCCTCCTGTATGTGAATTAAGTTCAATTGACAGAGCAGGAGATAAAATTGTTTAAGGTAAATTACATTTGATTGAAAGTAAGACCAGTTTTTTTTTTCGTGCAGGCTGTGTCAATCAGAGCCAGGGGAGGTGTGGCAAGGCTGCATAAACAGAAACAAAGTGATTTAACCCCTAAATGGCAGTGAATTGAGCAGTGAAACTTCAGTCATGATCAATACACTAAAACTGCTCTATTAAGCTAAAGTTGTTCAGGTGACTATAGTGTTCCTTCAATAATGTTCTGACACTTTTTCTGCTCCCTCCTGAAAGGTGCAGTCTATGATCAGCAGCAAGAAGGACCAGTAATAACGATGTCATCACCGGACAAGCCATTTACATGAGATTAACCTACCTGCTAGTCTGTGGACAATGACTGTGAATAGATTGCGGACTGTGCCAGTAAAACTGGATCACTTCTTCCACTAATAAATGGTTGGCGTTATCACACTGGTGAAGTTGTAAATGCATATCAAAAACGTAGCGCCTCCTACTGGATTAGAGGAGGGCAGCGAGTGAATAACATAGATTGAACATCTCTTTCTCTCGTTCCTGCTCTCTCTTAGTCTTTCTCCATCAAATTGTATTACATTTTTCCACATTTATTCTACTGATACCATAGCAATTTCAACAATTCCCATTGCTAATGTACCTTCTACCTTTTATTTTGTAATTAACCTGTTACAATTAATGTATGGTCCCGTGGGCCTTGGCCATTCTTCTCATATGAACCAGGACATACCATCTCCATCTATTGCCTCCACAATGACTATTAATACCGTTTATACCATGAGCACTGCTAGAACTTTAACAGGTACAATTATTATCATTAGCATTGCTACCATACGGATTTCATAAGCCATGTTGAAAATGGTGATTCAAGGGTTTATTCATCTCCTTAGTTTTAGTTAAGCTCCAAAATAGGCACGCACAGCTCATTAGGACTCATGAGCAGCTCAAGAACTTCTCATTGCTCCTGACTTGCCTCAGGTAGAGAAACAGCCATTAACCTTGATGATTTATAACCGATTCCTATTTTTTTTGGCCTTTGACACCCTAGCAAGTGAACATTGTCTGTCTAGAGCAAGAAAATGATATTTATACCTTGAGCTACAAAAAAAGTACAAACGTGTGTAAAACTGAAATGAAAAAGGGGACTTTAAAAACCATTGTGTAGCCCCCGAGGAGTCCTGATCATTATCCTGAATTCCGGCTTCTGTACAGTTCACTCGAGGATGACTTTCAGAGGATTGAGTGGCACAGAGTACCCGCTGCGCTCTCTCATACAGGCATCTCGTTTTATTTATATAATCATGTATAATGCATTTTAACCTACTGATTTTGTGCTGCTCTTCGCATCTGAAAACACATCTCCTGCTGATGGTCTTCCCGACAGAGTGTTTAATCATGTAATCATGTGTTGCTCTAATTGTCTTATATTACCTTACTATGCAAACAAGGCATCTGATTTCGCAATTTTATGATTGGCAGTTTATTACCGCATAAATATGTGCAGTAGGACATGTCAAGAAGAGTGATTATGGTGGTATAATTATGCATCTTATTAGGAGTGTAGTTAAGTTCTGCTGCCGTTTGCCATAGGAGCGATAGAACTACGTTTATTCTTAAGGTGCACTCGTCATGATAATAGCAGTGACTAAGTTTACAATGTGTACAATATATGAATCTATTATGTGGGGTTTATTCTCTAAACAGTTAAGTTGACAAACAAATAGCTACATTTAGGACTCACTTGACGATCTGTAAAGAAGGCACAGCTCTGTTGTCACTTCAACCCAAATTTGCATAGTGCCTCCAAGTTAAATGCAGTCTAGCAGGTCCGAATATGATTAGATCACGAGTCAGATCTGCCATGTCTGCGACGTTAATTAAATACATTTCTTCATTAAAAAAAGTGTATGTGTTATGTTTTTATTTATTCATTGCTATCTGTATACTTCATTGTGAATTGCCGAGAATTGTAAATGAATTTCAAAGTTTAGGACAAAACAGCTGGACACAGGGGGATAGAACAGCTGGACACAGGAGGATAGAATGGCTGTACACAGGATAGAACAGCTGAACACAGGGCGATAGAACAGCTGGACACAGGAGGATAGAACGACTGGACACAGGAGGATAGAACGACTGGACACAGGAGGATAGAACAGCTGGACACAGGAGGATAGAACGACTGGACACAGGAGGATAGAACGACTGGACACAGGAGGATAGAACAGCTGGACACAGGAGGGTAGAACAGCTGGATACAGGAGGGTAGAACAGCTGGATACAGGAGGATAGAACAGCTGGACACGGGGTAGAACAGTTGGATACAGGGTTATAGAACAGCTGGACAAAGGAGGATAGAACAGCTGGACACTGGGGTAGAACAGTTGGACACAGGGGTATAGAACAGCTGGACACAGAGGATAGAGTTGATCAGGATTTTTTTCAAGCACAGCTATTGCAATCTAAAATTTGACATTCACTTTGAATCACCCAAAGTTATTACTTTAGAGAATTCTGCTGTCATTGACTTTTGCCAATTATTAAAGGATTACTACAAGCATTACAACCACCCAGAGACCACTAGAAATCACCTGGCCCTGCAAAAATTGCCCGAGGATCCCGCCCTGTGTCTCATTCCCTCTGCCCCCAACCCCTCCATTTGTCTCATTCCTTCCCCCCTCAGCCCCTCCATTTGTTTCATTCCCTCTCCCCCCAGTCCCTCCATTTGTCTAATTCCCTCTCCCTCCCAGCCCCTCCATTTGTCTCATTCCCTATCCCTCGAATCCCTCCATTTGTCTCCTTCCCTCTCCCCGTAGCCCCTCCATTTGTCTCGTTCCCTCTCCTCCCAGCCCTCCATTTGTCTCATTCCCTCTCCCCCCAGTCCTTCCATTTGTCTCATTCCCTCCCCTCAGTCCCTCCATTTGTCTCGTTCCCTCTCCTCCCAGCCCCTCCATTTGTCTCATTCCCTCTCCCCCCAGTCCTTCCATTTGTCTCATTCCCTCCCCTCAGTCCCTCCATTTGTCTCATTCCCTTTCCTCCCCAGCCCTCCATTTGTCTCCTTCCATCTGAACTCCATTTGTCTCATTCCCTATCCCCCGAATCCCTCCATTTGTCTCATTCCCTCTCCCCCCATCCCCTCCATTTGTCTCATTCTCTCTACCTCCCAGCCCCTCCATTTTAGGCATGTGCATGGGGAAAATATTCGGTTTGGCATTCCGAAATTCAGGATTTTTGCAATTCGGCACTTCGGCAACTTTGGCACTTCGACACTTCGGCAACTTCGACACTTCGGAACTTCAGAATTTCGGAACTTCGACATTTCGGGACTTCGGCACCTCGGGACTTCTATTGCAGCCGCTTAGTAGATAACTCCCTAATTCCCACGGTATTAGGGAGCTATCTCCTAAAAGGCTGAAAGACCTAAACTGGTCTTTCAGCCAAATTTACTAATACTAAGTAAAGATTACTTAGTATTAGTAAATTATGCCCCTACTCGCTATACCGTGAGTAGGGGCCTGTGACTGCTCACTGTTTAAAAAAAAAATAGGGTCCCTCCTCCCGAGCTCCCACCCGCGACGCGCGAGTGGGGGCTTTTAAACTAAAGGGGGGACCTATTGTCCTCTTCCCTGGCCCCCACCCCTGAGCTGCGGGTGGGGGCCCTAAATTGGAATAAAGGGGGGGACCTAATGTCCTCCCCCCTGGCCCCCACCCCTGAGCAGCGGGTGGGGGCCCTAAACAAGAATAAGGGGGGGGACCTAGACAAGTATAAAGGGGGGGGGACCTAATGTCCTTCCCCCTGGCCCCCACCCCTGAGCGGTGGGTGGGGGCCCTAAACTAGAATAAGGGGGGGACCTTATGTCCTCCCCCCTGGCCCCCACCCCTGAGCGGGGGGGTGCAATAGGGCTCGGGAGGGGGGACCCTTTTTTTTTTTTTTTTAAAACAGTGAGCAGCCTCAGGCTGCTCACTGTTTAATAGACATCCCCCTACTCGCGGTATAGCGAGTAGGGGCATAATTTACTAATACTAAGTAATCTTTACTTAGTATTAGTAAATTTGGCTGAAAGACCAATTTAGGTCTTTCAGCCTTTTAGTAGATAGCTCCCTAATACCGTGGGAATTAGGGAGTTATCTACTTATTCATTTCTGTCATTACACTGACTGGCTAAGTAACTTACATTTTATATGAATGTATGTTACTTGATTGTTGTAAGTGTTGCAAATGCTTACAGCTGAATCCTGGCTATGTTTGTATACTTTGTATTTAAAATTGTATACAGTGTAACATTCTCTTTCTTTCACTGGGTAAGTATATTAGTACTTAGGCAATACTGTGCTTCGGAACTTTGGCACTTTGACACTTCGGAACTTCGACACTTCGGAAATTCAGTAATTTCGGAACCTCGGCAATTCGGACATTTGGAAGTACCTGAATGTCCGAATTGCCCGAAATTCATCCGAATTCATATTCGGACCGAAATGAAGTGCACATGTCTACTCCATTTGTCTCATTCCCTCTCCCCCCAGCCCTTCCATTTGTCTCATTCCCTCCCCTCAGTCCCTCCATTTGTCTCATTCCCTTTCCTCCCCAGCCCTCCATTTGTCTCATTCCCTCTCCCCTTCATTTGTCTCATTCCCTATCCCCTGAATCCCTCCATTTGTCTCATTGCCTCTCCCCCCAACCCCGCCATTTGCCTCATTCCCTCTCCCTCCCAGCCCCTCCATTTGTCTCATTCCCTCTCCCCCAGTCCCTCCATTTATCTCATTCCCTCCCCAGCCCCTCCATTTGTCTCATTCCCTCTCCCTCCCAGCCCCTCCATTTGTCTCATTCCCTCTCCCTCCCAGTTCTCCATTTGTCTCATTCCCTCTCCCCCCAGCCCCTCCATTTATCTCATTCCCTCCCCCAGCCCCTCCATTTGTTTCATTCCCTCTCCTCCACATCCCCTCCATTTGTCACATTCCCTCCCCAGCCCCCCCATTTTTCTTATTCCCTTTCTCCCCCCATTTATTTAATTCCCTTTCCACCTCATTTGTCTCATTCCCTCTTTCACCCCTCCCTCCTACCCCCCATATGTATTATATTCCATTCCCTATCTTCCTACCCTCCTGTACCTTCTGACTCTGTGTATCGTGGCCGTGCGATACCCAGTCTGACAGGAAATGCTCTTTCAGTGAGCACTTCCTGTCAGGCAGCGGTGCTTGGCCACGCTACACAGAGAGACCGGCAGGAAGGGAGCAACACAGCACATCACTCTTCTCCTACTGGTGATACCGTGAGTAGGGGCCTGTGGCTGCTCACTGTTTAAAAAAAAAATAGGGTCCCTCCTCCCGAGCTCCCACCCGCGACGCGCGAGTGGGGGCTTTTAAACTAAAGGGGGGACCTATTGTCCTCTTCCCTGGCCCCCACCCCTGAGCTGCGGGTGGGGGCCCTAAATTGGAATAAGGGGGGGACCTAATGTCCTCCCCCCTGGCCCCCACCCCTGAGCAGCGGGTGGGGGCCCTAAACAAGAATAAGGGGGGGGGACCTAATATCCTTCCCCCTGGCCCCCACCCCTGAGCGGTGGGTGGGGGCCCTAAACTAGAATAAGGGGGGGACCTTATGTCCTCCCCCCTGGCCCCCACCCCTGAGCGGGGGGGTGCAATAGGGCTCGGGAGGGGGGACCCTTTTTTTTTTTTTTTTAAAACAGTGAGCAGCCTCAGGCTGCTCACTGTTTAATAGACATCCCCCTACTCGCGGTATAGCGAGTAGGGGCATAATTTACTAATACTAAGTAATCTTTACTTAGTATTAGTAAATTTGGCTGAAAGACCAATTTAGGTCTTTCAGCCTTTTAGTAGATAGCTCCCTAATACCGTGGGAATTAGGGAGTTATCTACTTATTCATTTCTGTCATTACACTGACTGGCTAAGTAACTTACATTTTATATGAATGTATGTTACTTGATTGTTGTAAGTGTTGCAAATGCTTACAGCTGAATCCTGGCTATGTTTGTATACTTTTTATTTAAAATTGTATACAGTGTAACATTCTCTTTCTTTCACTGGGTAAGTATATTAGTACTTAGGCAATACTGTGCTTCGGAACTTTGGCACTTTGACACTTCGGAACTTCGACACTTCGGAAATTCAGTAATTTCGGAACCTCGGCAATTCGGACATTTGGAAGTACCTGAATGTCCGAATTGCCCGAAATTCATCCGAATTCATATTCGGACCGAAATGAAGTGCACATGTCTACTCCATTTGTCTCATTCCCTCTCCCCCCAGCCCTTCCATTTGTCTCATTCCCTCCCCTCAGTCCCTCCATTTGTCTCATTCCCTTTCCTCCCCAGCCCTCCATTTGTCTCATTCCCTCTCCCCTTCATTTGTCTCATTCCCTATCCCCTGAATCCCTCCATTTGTCTCATTGCCTCTCCCCCCAACCCCGCCATTTGCCTCATTCCCTCTCCCTCCCAGCCCCTCCATTTGTCTCATTCCCTCTCCCCCAGTCCCTCCATTTATCTCATTCCCTCCCCAGCCCCTCCATTTGTCTCATTCCCTCTCCCTCCCAGCCCCTCCATTTGTCTCATTCCCTCTCCTCCCAGTTCTCCATTTGTCTCATTCCCTCTCCCCCCAGCCCCTCCATTTATCTCATTCCCTCCCCCAGCCCCTCCATTTGTTTCATTCCCTCTCCTCCACATCCCCTCCATTTGTCACATTCCCTCCCCAGCCCCCCCATTTTTCTTATTCCCTTTCTCCCCCCATTTATTTAATTCCCTTTCCACCTCATTTGTCTCATTCCCTCTTTCACCCCTCCCTCCTACCCCCCATATGTATTATATTCCATTCCCTATCTTCCTACCCTCCTGTACCTTCTGACTCTGTGTATCGTGGCCGTGCGATACCCAGTCTGACAGGAAATGCTC